ATATATATATATATATATATATATATATATATATATATATATATATAATATATGATATACATACTGTATATACACTACTAAACTGTCTATAGAAGCAGCATCAAATGATGATCTGCTCCCTAAAACAGGTCTCTCTTGAAAATGAGTTCTCGTGGCTCAATGAGACTACCTGTATAAATAAAGGGTAAATGAAAAAAAAAATTAAAAAAGAGTTTTGAAGGATAATTTAATCACAGGTGAGTAGTGAGCACAGGTGGAAGGACTTTTGTGGGGCAACAGGCAATTTTCCGTGTTCACAGTGGCTGAATAAACATAATCTCCGGTGTTGACAGACGTGAAGTGTTACTGAAGATGGCACCTCTGAGTTTTTATTACCCCTGGATCCCCTGGCTCTTCGGTTTTTCTTCAAGGGAACGCGCTGTACCCACATCCTGCCAGTGGTCTGAACTGACCATCCTTCAGAGGCTTCAGGAACGATAATTCAGAGAAACATTCTGGTTCGATCCTGGCCAGCCTTACAGCCTCAGGAAAACAATAGAGCCAATTCCTTCATGTCATTGGGCTGTGACAGAGCTGGCCTGTCTGGCCAACATATGGCATTCAGTGACTGGGAGCAGGCTGTCATAATGCTTACTATTATCTCTGCATTGTCTCTGTTGGAAAACTATGGCTTTTATGATACACAACTATCCTGATATTGATAAAAGTTGGTCAAGCGAAGAGGCTGATAGGGTTTTAAAGTTTCTGATTTTTAGATATTTACAGACTTTTAACTTTGTTTTTCTTCCCTGTGAATTTCTAAACTCAGCACTTCTTAAGGCAATGAGCTCTCTCCAGTGACGTTCCTTGTAATACAACACCTCTTTTTTTTTCTTCTGCTCTCCCCTCATTGATTGATGCACTTTTCCCCCAGCAGTCAATATTGGAGTGGATCCTTTTTGCTGAATGGATTTTGGCTTTTCATCAGCCTCTGAAAAACAACATGCTTAAAAGTTGTTCGGTTTCTTCCATAGTATCAGCATTCAGCATTGAATCTTAATTACAGGGTTCGAGCAGGGCCCTGGTCTGGTTTCAGGCAGCCTTCACTGTTCCCTCGGTGAAGCTGGTCCCCGTTGGTAATTCCAGGGCCAACCACAGTGGTAATGAGCACGGAGGTGGTGGCTGCAGTCCAGGAATATGCAGCTCCAAAGACTCATGGGAAAGGGTGGTGGGGGAAGTCTGGGAGACAGTAAATTTACATCATAATGTCTAGTCATAAACATCAACTTCCATAGATGTTACACAGTCACAGTCCAGTGAGCTGTGAGGATGGGTGGTACAGTCATCTTTGAGTCATTTTTAGAGATGATCACGCTCTTCCCTTCATTAAGATGCTTGTTTGACATCAGTCTGCTCCGCTGGGTGGAGACAGTGCTATCAGCAGCCATGCCCTCAGGACATGGACTACACATCCCATCACACTCAATCCAGAAAATTTGTGTTCTTGGCTCTACACTCCCACAACTTCAGGTTTGTATGAAAGTAATGACAAATGGCATTAGTGTTTTGGCAATAAGCTGCAACTCCAAATGAGAGTTTACACCAAACCCACCCACTCACTCACTCAGCCTAAACCTCCAACCACAGACTCTTGTGAAAGTTTTCACACACTTATGGCGTGTAAGTGGGTAAATCCCACAGCACTCTTGCCTGTGGCTGGATTAATGTAGGCGTCTTTAGTTTTACATTGCAGCGATGTGGAGCCATGTGTCTCAGTACAGCAGGCTCCAACCTTGCACGCTTAAGTCTCAGTCAGCCCTACTCCTTTTTCTTCTTTTTCTGCCTCTCGGTGCAGCTTCGTCTCAGAAACTGGCCTAATAACGCTGCTCAAGCTTGAGTTGTCAGCAGATCTTGCGCCCACAGCACATTTCTGAGGCCAGTTGGTTGATACAGGCCTTTTGTTGCAGAGTTGTTTTACTGACTCAAGCTGCTCAGCTTAGCCTCATTGTGATAGTGTCTGCTCATAGCTGTGTCAGTTCACATGAGCTATTGTGCTGAATGAGTCAGACCTATAGGATACATGATAATATCCTGTCAGAGGAGGTTCTCATTCACATGGGCTTTGAGTCCTCCTCATCTCAGCAGGAAAACGCCTGATATCAATCTCGAAACGCAGCAGCTGAGTCAGGAACTGCGAGTTTATGCTTTTAAGAAACATAATTTTGCTTCACTTTTTATTCCTGAACAAAAAACACCACACTGAAAGTTTGGTTTTGGTTAGCTCACCACCAAAGGTGAAGACGATAATATTTTTGCTCATCCTATTTAAGATGGGAGCTAAAGCTAAACATTATAAGAAAACACAAAAAAATGACTATAAGCAAATTTTTTACAGCTACTGAGCTCAGATTTGGTGTAGTAGTAGCTGGGAGTCCTTCTCAACACATCCTTGGAGCACAACACATTGTGCCACATCTTTGCTGAAAGCCTTGACATTAGTTGTTAGGGTCAACCTTGTTGATTATCTCATGAAGCACTGGACTGATTTTAATCAACATAGGCTAACAAAAAAAAAAAGACTAATTCAGAGGAATGTACAAATACTGAGGTTAGATTTGGTGGGGTAGTAGCTGAGAGTAATTCTCAACACATATTTTAGATGCCAACAAACAACACAAGATCTTGCAATATTACATGAGATCGCACATAACACCATTAGAAGACGGCGGGTGATATGCATTCTTTAAAGGAAAGCTAGATCTTTAATTTACTTGGTATTTACAAAGTACATGGGAGGTGTTTTATACTTTTTGCAAGAAAAAAATTAATCAGAAAAAAAACTTGATAGTGTTGATTATTGCTTCTTGCTGTTGTTTCCCTCTGCAGCTTATTGTCAGTGACTTGTTATCTAAACAGCAACAACAGAGTGAGGCCCTTAAACATAAGCAGTGCTCGTGTTATGCTAGAGTCAGCAGGGACCTTGTGACGTGACGCCGCGTGGACAAGCCCAGCATTGAGACATTCTTTCACTTCAAAGCCCCCAGAGGACTCTCTGGACACTGGTTGAATAGAGGCAGAGGGGGGAGAACAGGTGCAGTCCACGAGTGGGGGTCATTCCCGCTGCCATCTGCTTTCTTTTCTGGGGTCGTTTTTTTTTTTTAATGCCCTCTTGATACGCCTCATGGCGACACGCTCCCCTGGCCAGCCGCCTCGTGCCCCGTTACCATGGCACCACAATTCAGATTAACCCCCCGCACATGTGCCGAGTCAGCCACGGGGGTCTGCGTCTTTTGTGATTGAGCATGGAAGAGAAAATAAGGAGGAGGGGGAGGAGGGAGATCCAGACCTGCATGGATAAGGGTGTAAAAAGAACACCCGCCAGTCATTCACTTTTGTTAAGTAAAGCAACAGAGGGAGAGTGAATAAAGCCATGTGGCAGGAAAAACAGAGAAAAGCCTTCATTTAAGAAAAAACATGACATTTTGCTTGTTTGGAGTAACTTTACCTATTCTGACAGGTCGTTTAGAAAACTTGTGAGCAGTCAAGATGACGGCCATCGAGAGTAAAGAGGAGATCAGCGACACAGACAGTGGCATCATTATCCACTCTGGTAAGGAAAGCACAAACAAAATCCTTATAATGAGTGTTTATCTGATTCAAATCATGTCACAATCAAGGCTGCAAACCAACATCAAGGCACATAAACACTGATTATAGCTTAGCCTAAAGTGAATTTAAAATTTTGAAGATACAAATTTTACATCAGTGTCTTCCAACTAACAGTAAATTGAGCATAAACACAAAAGAGAGCACCACTCTTAACTTAGTTTACTAAAAATGTTCTGTAGTAATATAGCATGAACTTCCCCGTCCTTTCAATGGATTAAAAAATATATATATTTAGAAGGAAATGTCTTTTTAATCAACATTATTAATACATCAGTTAAGAATCAACTACAAATGCTAAAAGAAAATATCAAAAAAGTCACAGGAAAACAAACCTTAAGAACAAAAACTTCTTCAGAAATTACAATGTTAACATATTTTAATCTAAAACAACGTAATTTTCAGACATTAGCTTATAAATGAGTCGGTGTAGATAATAAGCTTATTTTTAAGTATACTGAACAAAAAAATATAAACACAACCGTTTTGTTTTTGCTCCTATTTTTCATGAGCTGAACTCAAAGATCTAAGACTTTTTCTACACAAAAGGCCTTTTTCTCAAATATTGTTCACCGATGTGTGTAAATCTGTGTTAGTGAGCACTTCTCCTTTGCAGAGATAATCCATCCACCTCACAGGTGTGGCATATCAAGATGTTGAATAGACAGCACGATTATTGCACAGGTGGGCCTTAGGCTGACCACAATAAAAGGCCACCTTAAAATGTGCAGTTTTATAATGCACAGTACAAGTTTTGAGGGAGCGTATATTTGGCATGCTGACCGCAGGAATGTTCTTGTTCAAAGAATTTGGCAAAACATCCAGCCGGCCTCACAACCACAGACCACGTTACTACACCAGCCCCCGTGTTAGTTGTCCATAACATACGTTGCCCATACCATAACCCCACCGCCACCATGAGCCACTTGATTCACAATGCTGACGTCAGCAAACTGCTCACCTACATGACACCATACATGCAGTCTGCCATCTGCCCTGTACGGTGAAAACAGTGGTTCAACTGTGAAGAGAACAATTCTCCAGCGTGCCATACACCATCGAATGTGAGCATTTACCCACTCAAGTCGGTTACAACAACGAACTGCAGTCAGATGAAGACAAGGGTACGCAGATGAGCTTTCCTGAAACGTGTTTCTGAAAGTTTGTGCAGAAATTCTTTGGTTATGCAAATAGATTACTGCAGCAGCTGTGTGGGTGGCTAGCCTCAGATGATCTTCAAGGTGAAGATGCTGGATGTGGAGGTCCTGGACTGGTGTGGTTACATGTGGTCTGGGGTTGTGAGGCCAATTGGATGTACTGCCAAATTCTCTGAAACACCTTTGGAGACGGCTATGGTAGAAAAATAAACAATCAATTCACGGACAACAGCTCTGGTGGATATTCCTGCACTCAGCATGCCAACTGCACGCTCCCTCAAAACTTGTGACATCTGTGGCATTGTGCTGTGATCAAACTGCACATTTTAGAGTGGCCTTTTATTGTGGTCAGCCTAAGGCACACCTGTGCAATAATCATGCTGTCTAATCAGCATCTTGAAATGCCACACCTGTGAGGTGGATGGGTTATCTCTGCAAAGGAAAAGTTCTCACCAACACAGATTTACACACATTTGTGAACAATATTTGAGACAAAAAGGCCTTTTGTGTAGAAAAATCTTAGATCTTTGAGTTCAGCTCAGGAAAAATGGAAGCAAAAACAAAAGTGTTGTGTTTATATTTTTGTTCGGTGTTCATATATTCCAGAAACAGCAGGCTCTCAGAGGCAGCTCACATGATAACTCATCCTACAAGCAGGAACAAACAGCAGTGTGAACATCATATAAACATCTGATCTGAATTTACATGAGCTTATGTTTGCAGCAGAAATATAGTGGAACATATTTATATTTCACTTGTTTTTCTTTTTTAATGCCGATAATGCTGATAATGAAAGGTTGTGTGTGTCGATGCAGGTTCAGACAGCCCCACTTCACCGGTGAAGGACCTGACCACCCACACCAGAGCTCTGAAGCTGAAGCACCAGTCTCTGGAGGAGCGTCTGGAGCTCTGTCTGCTGGAGCTCCGAAAACTCTGCATCAAGGAGGCAGTAAGTGACCTCTGCAACACCAGGAAGTTAGGGTTACCAGTTCATTTGGTTTGTAATTGTCTTTTTGTTTTTATTTGGTTTTACAGGAACTGACTGGAACTCTTCCCTCAGACTATCCTCTAATGCCAGACGAGAAGCTACCTCGAGTGCGAAGGAGAATTGGAGCTTCATTCAAACTGGATGAAGAACTGATCCTTCAGGATCAGCAGGTACATCTCCCACCCTAACAGTTTTAATGTGCATAAAGAAAATGATTGATTTATCTAAGTTAAAATTCGTTTTTTTTATAGGATTCAGAATTACAAGCGCTAGAGACTGACTTGGCGGTGCAGCGACAGATTTACGAGGCGGTCCGTAAGCTTTCCCTCGAAGACAACCTCACAAAACCTCAGAAGAAGAACAGGCTGCAGCAGTGTAAAAGAGAAGAGAAGAAAGTGAAGGATCTGCAGGAGGCAGTGTTTCAGCACAGAATCAAGAGTGGGTGCAATTCACCATCTGTCTCCGTCTCAAGCAGCCAAAACAGAGGTGGGTGACTCTGCTGCCCTCTGCAGGCCAATCTGTATAACAGCTGTTCGTGACACTTGACTTCTGTGCAGATATGTGCATGTCTGATGACAGTTCCCTCTCTGATGTGGTTGCTCTGGATGACGGTGAGTTGAAACTTTATTTATACTTTTATCTAAAAACATTTTAAAGTAAACTTTCGGTAGAAAACGTAATAAAAACTCTATAGTGGGAGGAGATTTCAGTGTAAAATTATGAATAAGCTTTAAAGAAAGAAGCTGAGATTTAAATAATTTTCCAGTGCCTAGTTTATATTATTAGTGAATTTTGAGTAAATATTTAAACATACTTGAACTTGAATTATTACTGTTTTATCAGCAGTTTTAGTTTTGACGTTATTTATGTATTTTTATATTGTGTTTTTGTCTGTGTTTTTATCCTTCATAGATTTGGACTCATCATTCCCCCTCTCACCTGCGGTGCTGGTCTCTTCCTGTTCAGACCCCTTCCAGATGTCAGATGAGACACTGCAGTCGTCCCATGACTCCTCAGGGCAGACCGGTGTGGAGTTTGAGCGCTCCCCCATCCAGAACTCTCCATGGAAGGAGTCCAGTCTGGACCAGCCATACCAAAGGGCCACAAAAATTCAGTCTCCCAGCAGAAGCAGGTCCAGGTAGGAGGCAGATGTGTTTCATCAAAACTGTTAGTAAATTAGTTTTTATTTCAAAAATACTTTTAAAAATACAATGGAATTAGAAAGAAAGTATTGTTTTTCTTAATGGAGATGTCAAAACAGAGTAAACATCTGATGTCAGCTGGTTTATGAATACTTCTGCCCACATACTTTAAAATAAGATTTTTTTATTTATTTGATATTTAATAAGTGTTTTAAATACATCAGCTGCTTTGTGATTGTGGTGCCCATCGTTGCTCTTCATGCTTTATTGTGTGCAGTAGTCCAGCAGGAACGCAGGTGTCTGCAGAAAGCTGCAGGATTCCTCTCACTCAGTTTGTCAGGAACTCTGCGTTGCGTCACACTCACTCCACCAGTGCCCCCTCCACCCCAGAGCTGCTGGTTCGCCGACAGTACTCCCAGTCTTTCAGGTTTGCAGAAGAGTCAAGTTGGAAATGGCAAAAAGAGTACAAGAACACGCGTGCAGTGTTTTAAACTTTTTTTAACTTTGTGTTTGAACAGATTTCCCAAAAAAAAGCTGTTTGCTGATGTGGAGCACCTGAGCTCAGGAAGCAGTCGTGGACGAGCCGGGCTGCCTCAACAGCGCTGCATGCCAAACTTCACTGTCCGTTCTCCAGAGTATTCTCCACCACATTCTTACCAGACCAGCTCAGTGGACAGCAGCTCAGGGCACTTGTCCTCCTTCATCTGCTCTCCTGTAAGAGACAGACCCACTGATATCCCTAAGCTCTGCCCCCCACCTTACGGATTTCACTTTGGGGCACAAAAGAAAGAACTCTCCATCTTCTCCGGCCTCCACAAGAGCACAAGTCAGCCTCAGTCCAGCCCTGCCCATGTCAGAACCACACCAAAGGACGATCCCCTCTCCCCACAAGACCTGGACATGGGTAAATGCTTCCTGTCTGCCCCTCCAGTCACTCGCAGACAGCAAAGAAGAGCTTCCTCCCCGAGGAACACCCTAAATCCCCCTCCGCCTTACACTAAACTAGTGCGGACGCCTTCACTGAGAGATTACCCCAACCATGCCGTCAGGATGATGCCCCGAGACATCGTCTCAGAGGAGCTGAAGTCTTGGCATCAGCGGAATCAGCTGCAAAAGTTATGGCCCAACTGTGGAGAACAGCAGAGCTCGCTGAGCGTCACAAGCCCCACTTCACCTCACCTGCCCACATTTGAACAGGTTGGTACCAAACACATGGATGCTGTTCAAAACTGCAGGAACCTTTAATGATGTTTAATAGATTCATGTGCACATTATGACATAAGAGAAGCAAATCAGTTACTTTTTTCATTAATTTTCTAGTTTATACTGAATGAACAGCTATGAGACACAAAGACAACAATCTGATGAACTTTAGGTCTTTTTTGCATTAAACAAAGATCCACATCTGAGTCTAAATGAAATGGGAATTTAATGTTGCCTGTGCTCCTCCTCTTCACTGACTTTCCTGAACACTGGCTTATTGTTTAATGTAAACTTGCTGACATGTAGAGACAGGAAGTGATTGCCTGTTACATTATGTTGGCCTCAGCTCTGCCTTGACAGAAGAAAAACATCCTTTAAAAAGTTGGTCAAACACAGAAACCCATCTGTCCATCCATCTTCTATCGCTTATCCGTATCGTGGAGGCAACAGGTCCAGGAGTGAAACCCAGACATCCCTCTCCCCAGTAACACTTATCCTGTGGGACCCCAAGGCATTCCCAGGCCAGAGAAGATACTCAATCCCATCAGTGTTTTCTGGGTCTTCCCCGGGGCCTCCGGGATGTGTCTGCAAAACCTCTAAAGGGAGGTGTCCAGGAGGCATCCTAATCAGATACCCGAACCACCTCAGCTGACTCCTTCTGATGCAGAGGAGCAGCGACTCTACTCTGAGCTCTTCCCAGATGACAGAGCTCCTCGCCCTATCTCTAAGCCTGAGCCCAGCCACCCTACGAAGGAAGCCCATTTTAGCCGCTTCTATCCAGGATCTTGTTCTTTCGGTCATGATCCAAACCTCATGACCAGAAGTGAGGGTTGGAACAAAGACAGACCAGTGAATTGAGAGTTTTGCCTTTTGACTCAGTTTTCTCTTCACCACGACAGACTGAAGCAACACCCTCATTACTGAGGATGAGGCCCCAATCTGTCGATCCATCTCCCGTTCCATCCTACCATCACTTGTGAACACGACACCCATATCCTTGAACTCCTCCACCTGAGGCAGTCTCTCCCCCAACCCAGAGGGGGCATTCCACCACTATTTATTTTAATATTACAACATATATACATCAGATACTTCACTACTTGACCTATCACATCTCTGCCGTATGAGTGCACATACCGTATGTCCTGAATGAACACGGATGCAACGTGTTTTTGTTTTTTTTACAGGGTTCAGGAAATGTGATCCTCCAGAGAGCTGCAGACGGGACTCCAGTCCAGTGGTTTTTGGCCGAGGATGCTGAAATTGTGAGCCAGGTGTAACCAACACCTCCTCAACATGTTGAATCATTCCTGTTTATTTATGTCTGTATTTATTAAGACTCTGGACTCTCTGTGAGATCAATGATGCGACGCAGGAAAAAACGTAGACCTATTGGTACCAGATTGGTAATTAATTTATAAAATTATGTAAGGTGGTATGCCAGTTTTATTTATTTTAGGTTGTCTCAGTAGACGTAGGTGAGCTGAGGTTTATTTGGTTTCATGGAGGTTTCAAACATTTCAGAGTTTTCTTTGTGGCTGGCGCACATTTTGCACACAAACATCACCTGCAGTAGTTGTCATATAGATTTCCTTATTCTTTAATATAATGTTGACTATTTATTTTATTTTTCCCTTACAACATAGACTTAAAGCTAAGATTTTTATACTTTATTGATATATTGTTTATGTGTTTAGCCTTGATTTTAATTCTGCTGTGTAAGCTCAATTTGAACGTTTGTCACTAACTAATCACTGATCCTTTTGACAGTGGTTTGACTGTTTTCACTGCAGTGTGGGGCTTTCTTACTAACCACTTGATTCTATGAGATTTTATATATTTTTATGTATTTATAATAAACAAAAATACAGCTGCATTTGTTGTTGTTTATTTTAGAGGTTAAAATAGAAGTATTTCAACAACTGAATGTGTTTCATGAAAAAATAATTTTATTTTTATACATGAAGACAAATTTATCCACAGACTGATGATGTAGTCGTAACAGTATATTTTTTTCCAGAAGGACGAGTCAGGACTCAAGCTCTCCTTCATAAAGTTTCCACACGTAATAAATCAGCATTACGACACAGAGAAGCATGAACAGGTTGGTGCAGACGCGTGTCAGTCGGCAGCGGTGCGACCTGAAGGTCAGAGGATGCTGCTTACGCGACGACACACACCTGAACAGGAGCGTGCGTCAGTGTTTGTCAGACAAAATGAGCAGTATTTTTTAGTCCTGTTAAAAAATATACATTTACTCACATGCCCATATAGTTCAGTCGATGGATATTTGCCACCTTTTTTTCCTTTCCTTTATTTGTCGAAGCTGCTTTGGCTTTGTGTCTTTGTCTCAAAGCGCTCAGAGGGGGACTGTGAAGAAGCCAAAAAGACCTACGATTAAAATATGTGCACAGGACAGGCAAAATGACAGCAACAATCATTTTACTGAAGTCTCTTGACTGCAAAACCAACCAAAGTTAAACATTAAACCCAGTGCTTTTATTTTTCTTAAATCTGTGCCATTCTAACCAAAACATTTACTGTAACAAACTTAAAAGGACACGCCTGTGCCAAAATTATACTTTCATAGTTTTCAGTGATACTGACCTACTGAGGGTAGTTAGACATCATATTTGAAGGGGGTTGTGTCTGATGTAACGAGATTACATTATAAAAAAGAAAATTGTTAAAGACTACAGATTGCAGTTGTCGCCATACTTTTTGTTTTGTGTCTTTAATGGCGTCACTTGTGATGCAGCGCTCTCTGGGTTGGGTGTGGGAGAGGGGTCTGGATGAGGATCTTCAGGTGGTTCTACTGGATCTAGCTGCCTAAAAACAAAACACGTTGATGCTAAAATAAGAAGAGTACCGCATACGGCACATTATGCACCCGGTGACAAACGATTATACAGCAATCTATAGCGATGGCCCAGACAAGCACCTTGTAAAACCCTTGACCTTGATCTTAGAGCTAGGCTGATGAAAAGCTTATGCAACGATACAAACGTGTATCAAGTTTTGTTAAATTTTCTTGACCGGATCAGAAGGTTTGGGCAAGAAGAGAAAGTTTACAGATGTGCAGACAGATGTTGACTTCATGATAATCCGCCTTTGACGGGCGTATAAATATAAAACCATACAGTGAAGATTCAACGCATAACTCTGTTGACCTGTCATCTGTTGAGTTGCTGTCTTCTTTAGACACAAAGGAGCAGCTGGAGTCCATACTCAGGGATGGAGACCGGCACTGGGAGGAAGGCTTCTTGGAAGAGGAGGAGGAGGCCCGCTTCTTTGACTCATGCTTTTTCTTCTCCTGCAAATAAAAAAAAACAGGATGCTGTTCATGGTGATGTGAAAATAAAGGAGTTCACCAAAGACATCTCTTCACCTGAGTCTGGCTGGAAATAATTGATGCACTGATTCTTCGACGTAAGGTGCTCTGAAAGACAAACAAACACCTGATTAGAAAGAACTTATGAAGAACATATATTTGAGTTTTGCAAAACTAAATTCCACGCACTTGATTAGAGCCTTTCTTCTTCTCACTTTCCTCTGGGTCTGCAGAAAGATATCCAGCTTCAGTTATATTTCACAAACAGCTGAAGAACAATGCAGGACAGACTGAAGCATGGAACGGACAAGGTACCGGGATGGATGTTTCTGCTGGAGATCATCTGCTGCTGCAGCAACATCTTTTTGGTTTCTTCCAGCTCCGCTTTATTCCTGTCGTGACGCTTCCTCAGACTCTCCACGTGAGCCACCATGAGCTCCACCGTCCGACTCACTCGGGCCTCCTGTTCATGTCAGAACAATTACAAGACGGTTTTAGTACAAGTGGTACAAAGAGATCCAAGTCATTTGTGTGGATAAAACCCAAAACGCCTTGTTGCACCTGATGAACAGCACCGAGCACCTCCGCTGTGTTGGAGATGCGCTCAACTGTCCCTCCAAGGATGTCCAGAGACAACTCCAGCTTTTGCAGGACGTTACTGCGCTGACTGTCCAAACACAGGCCCTTCAGGGTCTGCAAACACACACAAACACACTTCTTAAAGAGCTCCAAGGGGAAGTTTCTAGACTAATCTTAAAATTGGCAAACAGTTATTAATAATTACAAATCAAAACGTTAAAGCGTTTTATCAGAATGGAAAAAATAAACTGAGATAGTCTAGTTACATTAATGATCAGGAGCTTTGAGAAGGCACTTAAACCCAAGTTATGTTTTCTCCATCATTTCTCCAAGATTCTTGTAATGCTCCTTTACTTCATTTAGATAAATATGTGCACGGGCGTAGATTTTAGGAATAATATAAAACAGTGTTCAAAATGACCAGAAAGAAAGCTGCTGCTGTCATTCTGCAGCAACAGAAAGGCAAAAAGAATTCAAAAACCTCCAAAACCATAAAAACATATCCCCTGTTCTGATGAGACAGTGACAATTTCCAACAGTTCATAGGAGTCAAGCCCAGGGGCGCCCCCAAAGGGGAGACGAGGGACTCAATGTGCACCCCTTTAAAAATACTGGCCCCCACTGACAGACCGAATAGTCCTATCCTCCTGAGTCCAAAGCTTTTGTTTGGTGCATATTTTTATTGTCTTAGTTATCTGGAATTAGTTGGACCCAGCGACAGGAGAAAGATGGACAAAATAGCTCCGCCTTCTTTGGATGTTGATAATTAAAGCCACAAAATCCCCCTTTTATTTTTGCAGGTTGTATTTTTGGAACCAGAGTCTGTTCAGTCCTGCCTCCTCCCCCTGCACACATTAAAGCATGGAATAACTAATTGCTAATTACAGCTCAGCAAACTTCCAGAAGCTCTGTAAGAACTGTGTAAATCAACAAGAGTTAGTGCCTAAAAAAATTTAAAAAAATCATTTGAGGTGCATTTTTATTTGATTTGTTTGTTTGTTCAAGTGGAGGGAGGAACCTACAGGTCCTGTTTCAACTTCCTTGTTCCTAACTGGTGTCTAAATTTCCTTAATGGTTGATGGAATGACTTTGTGAACATAAAAGTCAAACATATCTCCTCCTTTGGTCAGGTATTATACGAGTGGGGTATCTGGTGACAGGCAGGGCGTACGTTGATGGACTGGACTTCTTCGAAGCCTGAACTACTTGATCTTCCCAGACCAATGTTGTGCAACCATTAATGGGTGGTACCGGCAATGTCACCTCAAGATTATCAGCGACCCTCATCTGGCCACCCCTTTGAAAAGCTTCTGCTTTCAAAACAAAATGGTAAGTATCATAAGTACCAGCTCATTAAAACAGAGCGGTCCGTCCTCGCGTGTCATACCTCCAGGGTCTCCCGGCCTCGGGTCAGCTCCAGCTGGATGTTTTCCTCAGCCAGGTTGCGGGCGTGCTCCTCTGCCTGCAGCCTCTGCTTCAGGGTGTACTGATCACAGCGAAAGGCCAGGGTGATCTGTGAGAAGGCCTTCTGGAAGCAAGAACACGTGTCTACACCCAGATGTTGACTCGGAGTTTATCATTCAAGTCATTTTTATTAAACAGTCCAACTAAAGATTCTTAATACTGCGTGTACTGGATGAAGTCAAATTTAACAGACTAGAAAAAGAAAATTATTAGTTAAGCAGTAATGAACACATGAAAAACTTACCTCCAAGTCATGTTCTGACAAATCCACACTGTCAACAAACAAGTTGTTTCAAATTTTCGATGTTCATACAAAATATCTTATATTTATATATATTTAATGCTGAGCATGATGTGCTGCACCTGTTGAGGCCCACACGCTCTATGATGGACAGCTCGCTCCAGTTTGTGACAGGCAGCTCCTCCTGAATGGTTTCTATTAAAACACGTGAATCCAGTTAGATTTTAGATGCTGATGTGGCTTTTTATGACAGTTTGTTCTGTTTTTACCTCCCTCGCTGTCTTCACTGTCCTGCATGGTGGGTAAGTTCAGCTGCTTGGTCGTGCGTCAGGATGGAAATCCCTCAGAAGCAACGTAGGGGCATTACATATAAACATGGGAACAGGTGAGGCAGCGGGTAGATTATTTGACTCACCTCTGTGCTCATCACAGCGTCATTCAGTGAGCGTATCCATCCAGAATAATCCATTTCATTCAAATTATTACATTTCTCAGGTTCTCTTTCTTCACAGTGAGATTTTCATTTAGGTTTAAATAAAATATTCCCACAAGTTTGGTTTTGGTTCACTCTTCCCTCGGCCTCTCTCCTGAGAATAGATAATCTCATTAAGAGATCCAGTCAAACCAGAGTGGAACCCAAAAGGCTCATGGGAAGTTGTGTTTTATCTACTAATGGAACCACATTGTTACCTGTCTGCCCTGCAAAATCCAGCAAACCAAACTACAGGGTTAGATTATTTTGAACTTCATCTTCTCATAAACAGGACAAAGCAGCAATGTTTGTCTTGTTACTGAAATATTTAATGAACCACTGGATAAAATTTAGTAAGTTATTAGACGAATCGCTCCAGCCGATCAACTTTTGGACCCCAATCCAAGATGGTCGCCACAGACAAGGGACCTTAGAGAACATGAAGCTACAAAATAAATCAATTTAATAACTGTGGTGCCAAAACTTGATGTGGTTGTAGCTGAGTCTGTCACAGTTTATGATCCAACTCTGCTTAATTCTTTTTAGCATCAACTGTTGGGAGTCAACCTAATTTGCAGATTATCTCATGAGCCACTTAAATTTTGACTAATGGGGTTTAATTCAAGATGGCCACCAGTTATAAACATTAGCAAACACTGAATGAGCTAGAACTCACGTTTTAGAGCTAAAATTTAATGTGGTCATCATTTAATACATAATCTGATCTCAACATCTGGCAACGTTGTGAAAAAGCATTTTACAGTATTTTCAAGGTTTAACAAAAACATCTAAAATGTAATTGTTCAACTTTGTCCAAAACTCAAACATGAAAGCTGACTTGTGATAAACATTACTTCAGGGAAGATTAAGCTCTTATTTATCCAAACATCCAATTCAGCGAGGAACATTTAGATCAAATTAAGATTTAATTTATTTTTTAAAAATTAAGTTAAAAGGCCAGAAAGCGGAAGAGGAATATTGATTTTTAAGGGGTCAAAGCAACCACTGAAACCAACAACTCCTGGAGTAAAAAAAATTCTGAGGTTTTAGTTTGAATTAATTTTTCATTCAACCCTTTTAATACTTTCATGTTTTGTTTTTTAAGATCGAACATCTAAAAAATTTCCTTCAGGAACATTTAAGGTTTACACTTTTAAACATACTAAATTTAATTGATTAAAAAAAAAAAAAAAAATCTACATCAGTTTTAGGAGGAAGTTAAAATAATTTTAATACGCTTAATATTTAGTTGCATTAGCAGAATCAAGAAAACAACCAGGACAGACACGATTTGAAAAGTCTGATTTTCTCATCCATCAGTCTGCCCATGGGGTACATCAGGCCTCAGCATACACAACGGTGTGCGTTATCCAGAATCTGTGACCAAACGAAGCTTCTTTTGAAGCCTTGGAACACTGATCCAAAAAAAAATAAAAAAAAAATAAAAAATTGAAGCAACGTGACAAACGATCCAGAGAAATCAATTTAGGAGCTTCTCTTCTTTTATTAACAAAAACACATTTAATAGAGGCGTTGGGGTTTGCCCATGGTGCTCTTGATGTAGAGGGCACGCACGTTCTGCCAGTTCTTCTTCAGAAGAGACACCAGGAAGTTGACAGACAAGTGGATGTTGTAAACAAGTTCATCCTCGGTCATCTTCACGTGTCCGACAGCCACGGCCAGACAGAGCACCTACAACAAAAACAGCACGAGTTCTTAACAAACAAAAAAAAAGTACACAACATAAGAAGAACATTTTAATGACCAAACTAACCTTTTTCATCTGGAACTTGATTGTGGATTTGACTTCATCCACCTTTGTGTTCATGTTCTCGTTGTGGGTGAGCAGGGAGGGGAACTTGCCAGCCTTGTTCAGTCCAGGGCCCAGGATACGGGGGATCTGCTTGATCAGAGACTCTGAGGCCAGGAAGGCATCGTACTTCTTGGCTGGAAGAACAAAAACCGTTAAGTTGGAGATGCCTCGTTTTCTCGTTAGCGCCGATCTCATTCGCCTCGCAGGTTGAATTTCTTACCGAGCTTCTTGACCAACTTCTTGTTCTTGTTGAGCTTCTTCAGAGCCTCGATGTCCATGTGAGGAATCTCAGCAGCTTTGGCCTCATCGCAATGTTGCTGGTCTCCCAGAACACACACGGAGAACTTGGGCCTGGGGAGAGTCTTCAGCCTGCATTAAAAAAAAAAAAAAAAAAAAAAAAAAGTTGGCCACTTTTTAAACTCGAGCATTTGTCTGCATAAACAAAAAAAAAGCACAAGGTTGTATTAATATGCATACCTTGACAGAAACAATTTTGAACATTGCACCGCTTTAAAACTAATGCTTAATATGTCCTGGTGTTCTGCTTAATATACAAAAAGATGCCACTTCCAGATGAACCCTCTGATTTTAATGTGTAAGAGAAGATTCTTACCCATACCACCACAGCGGTCGGCGTCCAGCGGACCTCTTTGTTAAAGTAAAATTGGTCGGCTTGTGGACATGAGCCCAGCAGCTCAGTCACACAAAGCCTCCCCTCATGTTTTAAGACCCAGGGTAGGGGTCCGCCTGCTTTGCCATCACCAGCCGAAGCCGAGTGGGTTCAGTCAGACTACCCAGAATACTTTTCCTTGTCCGTTTCCATTCTGCCAGGACTAAGGTTTTCGTCTTTCTTTCTAAATACATGGACAATTAAATTCTCGGCCAGGGCTGGAAACAAGCAAGGAAAAGGTTGGGTGAAACAGTGAAATGTCGAACCTGACGGTGCCGGAGAAACGCTTGTCCTTCTGGGGATCATAGTTTTTAAGGCTGATCTGCAGCTCCACAGTCTCCACAAACCTATTAACAAGCAACACCATTATTACAGATTTAACATCCAGAGAACTTAAGTCAGGTTCAACTCTTTGTTTGTACTCACTTCCTTGGCTTGGCCACAGAGCCCTGCAGGACCTCCCTCACGGCTTCATACAGCGTATCCCTGGAAACCTTGCTGTACAATAAAATAATAAATATAGTTAATACTACTAAAGTTAACCTACGACACAGAAACGTCCCTTAAAACAAGTCTTGATAGCTGCTATATGATTACGTAGTAAAGCTCAGTTTAACACGTTACACCATGTAAAATTCACTTTAATGTAATCTAGCATCTATATTATAACTATAAAGAAGACGACTGATAAATTAAATAGGTTTTAAAACTATGGATGGGAACGGATTACATTTAGAAAAGGTAGCGCCGGTTCCTCCGCGACAAGCTAATCTAAACCGGTCCCATGCTAAACAGCTAACTTCAACTATCTCCTCAAAAGCAAATAAATGACAAAACCCTTACAACAATGTCAGACTAAGTGTTCATAAGACAGCTGTACATGAGCGTGAACATGTCAAAAGTCGGTGTTTTAACAGAGTTATTCAGTAAATTGGGTCCAACCTCATTTTAGCTGTTCGTCCGCGCCGTCGTGCTACGCTGAAAAGGACGTACAGCCGGAAGTTACGCCAAATAAAGGCGTGCTACGTCATTCAATTTTTTTTAAATATCTTTATTTACACAAGGGTGTTTACAGTGGTTTTCGTCAGATGAAAATGAGTACTGGTATTTTAATCCCTTACTGTAGCAGTTGTGTTAAATTATCTGGACAGTGCAAGAATATTAATCTTATATATAACGTACAAAGTTTTAAATCATCTTAATTTCCTTTGCACTTTGCTTTTAAGGAGCTATTGTCATATTTAAAAATGGTCTTGAGATTTGTATTTTCTCAAGTTCTTTTAAAGTTTTTCTTAGGACTTTGGCTGATTTTAACTCATTTTCTCTGCATTATTTGTACCTGACTTGACTACACCAACACAATGTGTTTAAAAAGAATGGGGACAAGTTGACAAGAAAAAGTGAAAAAAGTATTCAGCTTTAAAAAAAAAATTGAGTTAATGACTGACGTCTGAAAGTAAGCTATTTGTAAAGTTAAAAAATGTAGCAAACACCTGTTTGAGAAACACATGATTCTTTTAGTTGATTTTTTTTAAATTAGTCAAACGTCGTAAAAATTAGAAACGAAGTATTGAGCAAGACCACTTTACAGGGAATTTTAGCTAAAGACATAATATCACACACATAAACAATGTGTATATATTATTTTAATGAGGAATGACTCTTTATGAATGTGTAGAAAGTTTAGTTTTATTATTGCCCTTTGTTTAAATAAACAAATACAAGGACTAGGCTTGTAAATTAATCTTTGGTAAGGTGCTTTAGCCTTGGTTAGTCAAATTAAACCGTGGCATTGTTTTAATATGCAACCTTGTTTTGTGTGCAGTCCTTGTAAAATACATTTAAAGTAAACAGGAGGTAAAACTTTTTAAATGACTTCAATATTTATCACATTATTCATGTAAAACTGGCTTCTGCAAATTTTCCATACTGATGCTCTAAAACAGTGAAGTAAAAAAAAAGACTACCATAGATTCTCCTCAGAATCATAATGGAGTACTGTAATAGTACATAAATAATACTGTAATAAAATGATCATACTTTAAAGATTTATCATGTTAGTTACCTCCAGTTATCTTCACAAATTTCACAGTACAAAAAAATCAAGTACAAAAATCTGAGGCTCAGCATTTCTGTTGAAAATCTTCTGCAGTTGCACAGACTATGCCATTTATTGCAAACCTATTCAAGTAAATAAAGAAGTCTATGGAATCTGAACCCCAATAAACAATATAAAAATATATATTTATATATATTACCATCTTTGTGTGGCACATCCAGAGCATCACATAATAAATATGACAGCAAATAACTTTCAAGTGAATGACTTTAAGCAGTGCACAGATTATACTAAAAACAGAAACATGCCCTGTTCGACAAGTTGGATGACTTTATTTTCAGTAAGATTATTGACACTCAGTAAATTAAAATATCATGTATGTAAGATCCTTTTTAAAGCAGCTTGAAGTGACTTCTTTAGGAACGTCTCGTTTACATCTAGGCAGCTTGTCAGGGAGTGTTTGTGCGCAGCAGTAATCTGGAGAAAAAAAATTGTTTATTCATAAATGGAATCATAAATTCTATTTTCATTACTTATCTACTGTGTTGGACGTCACTTTACCGACTTACATGGCTGCTGTATTTGGTGAGGACTGTCAGCATCATTTTGGCAAACTTCATAGATTTTGTGACGTGAGGACTCTGACTGACGAGCTGCTTCATGAACTGTGTGAAAACCTCTTCATTCAAGTCAGCCTAGCAGGGGAAACGGATAAAAGTGCTGTCAACTTGTTGAGTGATTGCTGTGGTTAAACATTTCACAATAATGAACTTACCTTTGAGTCTAGCAAGCTGTGGATAATGGAGAGCACAGCTTCACTCCAAGAAACTCTGAAAGTCATTCTGAGAAAGAAAGAAAACAGGTTTTGTGATTTTTTTTTGTTTGTTTCACGTTTGAAGCTTTTTTTTTTTTTTAGGTGCAAATAGAAGATAATGTACTAGTCTTACTGTAAAACTAGCAGTTTGTAGTGGGAATCCAGACAACTTTCTATGAGTCTGTTCAGTAGCTCTGCCTGCGGGAGCCCTGAAAACAAAACAAAGTCCACATTGGATCAACAAATGCTGGGGCCAAAGACTGAGCCAAAAGGTTCTTGACCTGACTTTGATTAACAGCAAAATATCAGTCCTGTTAATGTGTACTTGAACAATGACGCTAAACTCTAACCAGCTGGATCTCTGACCGACAGACGGATGCAACATAGGAGCTGCGCAGAGTTTATCGCTTACAAATTTATTTTGAAAGCTTGCGCAAGATTTATTTAAAAGCCCAGACTTGACGGTGTTCTGCAATATTTATGATTAGTTTAATTGGACACATTAAAAAAAAGTTAGTTGTTTATATTATGATGCAGCTCAGTCAGAAAGGTTTTGCTGCACATTGCCTCACCTATGGTCTTGTCTTCCAGCACTGGACAGATTACAGCATGACATATAGGTCTGGGATAGTGGCTACATAGAGATGTTGCTGCTGTCACCAGACATCTGGAAGCAGGCTCTGACAGGGACAGAACCTGCAAGTAAAAAAAATAGACTTTCAGTATCAAACACTTCAAAGAAGTTTGCATGCATCAAGTGATGTACCTTCTCCAGCAGGAGGCTCCTGCAGAGAGTTGCTGCTGTACTGTAGCTTAGGTCAGGAGACAGAGACAAAATACTGTTGCACAGTTTAGGCAAAGAGTGTTCGGGTAATTCAGGCAAATTCAGCATGCTGCATAATATCTCCACCTGAACAAGACAGGAAACATTGTGTAAAGGAAGGATACTCAATTTGGTTAATTAATATCTGGTTATATTTGTAAACAATAAGACAAAAAAGCAGGCAATACTTGGCTAGAGTCACATTCATTCAGCACTTTAAATGCATCTGTAGAGGTTTCATCCCACTGTAAAAAAATAAAAGATACAGTTGCATTAAATGTTACATTCAGCCTGTGCTGTGCACGCCAAAAGGTACACTTACCTCTTTTTGACTTTCCAGTAATTCTTTTATGTGAAGAAAAGAGGCCTGAACAAAGAAAATCAAGAAATCAAGTCTGATACAGTGATTTATCCATTTAAAACAGCATATTGTTTATTTTGCAATTTTTTTTTTTTTTTTTTTTTTTGCACGTTTACAGAGAAAGCTCCTTCTTTGTTTACCCTCAGGTTTTCAGGCAGGTTGCCCTGTGGACTGTTTGGTGCAGGACTTCCTGCGGGAGCAGCACCTTCAGATCCTTCCCATGCATCACGCTTCACATCTTTATCTTCCAACTCAACAAGCTTGTCATCCCAGATAGTCCACTTTGTCCGTTTACTCTGCTGCCTTGTTTCGTCATCATCAGCATCCTCTAAATGAACAAAGCTGACCCGCCTTTTCTTTTGTGTGCTCACCTCAGATACATCAGATATGATCTGAGATTCAGATTTGACTATTTGATCATTAAAGCACTGAGCCCACCCTCCTTTCTCACTACAACCGACCACACCATCTATCAGCCCTTTCAGTTTTTGGCTGCAATCTTTGGTGCACAGAGGCTCATCGTGATGGAGTGCCAGTTTTCTTTCCAGCTGTCTACTCAAAGCTGTCACCCAAGGGTCCACATAGGAGTCCTTACTGAGACATTTGAGCAGATGGAGAATAGCGGTCCCAGGAAGAACAGAGTGAACCAGATAGACGAAGGTCAGCAGGTTCTGTTTGAACAGTGTTGAAAACAAGCACACCATTGGTTTACTAGAAGAGATAAAGAAAATCAAAATAAATGGGTATTTATTAGTGTAGGTTTAAAATAAAAAATAATTTTACTGTCTGTAAATGTTCATTACTTTAATATTAAAATTTAAGCATGTTGCAGGTTTAAGCTTTTTATTCAGTATTTTTTTTTTTACTTTTGTGCAAGTTGCTCTTAATTTATATAGGCTAAAAATAATGGCAGTGATGAGTAAATACTGCAGTCAAACTCTGCGTTATTTTTAAAAGTTTGAGATTAAAACAATTAAAATTAATTACTGACAGCAAAACATCTAAGAAACAGCTTATACAAGACACAGTTTATTACTAAACGGCTCTATTAGGAACTAAATGCAAACTATAACCACTAATAACGATGAACAGTATTCACACGTGACTAGAAACCGAGCAGTCGAGCCAAGGTGAGCATGAGCCGTCTCCATAGCAACAGCCAGGCGTCAATCAATGCGCCATTAAAGACATAAAAACAGACAGTAAACTCAAAACCGCTACAAAAAACAGAACTGTTAGTAGCCAGAGTTGTGTACTTACATGACGAGTGGTTCATTTTCTGCCTCTGGACGAGTTACTTCGTCCTGACACAGAGTTTGTAAGAGATTAACCAGCGACAGCTCGGGGTTCGCCCGCTGCTGCTTGTGGAAGGCTGTAAGCGCTTTCTGGGTCCCGGAGATTCCGGACATCAGAGCCCGAACCAGCAGCCTCGACTGCCCGTCAAACCGACTCAAAAACATGCCAGAATAAACTAAAGGCTAGCACATAAGATGTTGCAGTTCCTTTCACCTCTAAGCTCCGAACGCGCCAGTTTTTACATTCTTGCACAAAGTCCTGTGAGCTGCGTGCTGCCCCCTGCCGACCAGGAGGACCCGTCAACAGTTTTTGTGGGAACCCTCTCAGCGAGGAGGTCTTTAAATATGCTGGTGAAGATTCTCAGTCATCCAGGACATGATGAATTCAAAAAGCGTTCAATACAAAAACAACTGGACTTTATTTGTAACAGATGACGTTTCGCTCCTCATCCGAGGAGCTTTCTCAATTCAAAGAGCAGAGAGTGAGAGATTCAGGTTATAAGGCTGAGTGAGATAAGACACACATGTAGATTGGCAATTCACACCTAAACAACATTAACAGTAAGAGTCTTTTGTTCCTCTAATTCACAGACGAGGCCCCTCTGTTCCCATCAGGTGTGAAAACTGGCTGGGGATCTGTTTTAAAGTTGCATTATAGGTTTTTGAAAGTGGAAATCTGAGGCCTCCTCCTCTGTTAAGAGACGGCTTTTCCCTTTTTACATAAATTGCTTCCTTCACCCCCCTCTCAAACCATCTGTGTTCTCGGTCCAAAATGTGCACATTTTGGTCCTCAAAAGAGTGTCCCTTATCTGTGAGATGGAGGTGAACAGCTGAGTCTTGTCCAGAGGAGCTGGCTCTCCTGTGTTGAGCCATGCGTCTGTGAAGAGGCTGTTTAGTTTCTCCAATGTAGAGGTCTGGACAGTCCTCGCTGCACTGGACCGCATACACTACACCACTCTGTTTGTGTATGGGTGTTTTGTCCTTAGGGTGGACCAGCCTCTGTCTGAGAGTCCTGCTGGGTTTGAAATGTACTGGGATCTTGTGTTTGTTGAAGATCCTTCTGAATTTCTCTTGATACTCCAGCAACATAAGGGATGACAATGTTTTTACGTCTGCTGTTCTCCTTTTTCTGTTTGTTGGTGTGTTTTGTAGATTTCCTCACTGACTTGACAAAAGCCCAGTTAGGATATCCACGTTTGAAGAGCTTCTTGAATGTGTTTCCGTTCCTTTTCCTTACCTTCTGTCTTCGTGGGGACGCATTCGGCCCGATGTTGTAAAGTTCTGATGACAGAGTTTGTGTTCCAGTGGATGGTGGGAGTCAAACAGAAGATACTGGTCTGTGTGGGTTGGTTTTCTGTAAACTTCAATGTTGAGGCTGTCCTCTCTCTCCATCTGAACCAAACAGTCCAAAAAAGGCAGTTTGTTGTCGTTTGCATCCTCTCGGGTGAACTTGATGTTATCGACCGAGTTAATGTGTCTGGTGAACGCTTCTATTTCCTTAGCCTGGTCTTTAAATCGAATCAGGGCCGGGGGATCTTTCTGGGTGGAGTTTGCATGTTCTCTCCATGCATGTGTGGATTTTCTCTGGGTACTCCCGCTTCCTCCCACAGACCTAAAACTTGCATGTTAGACTGATTGATAACTAAATTGTCCCTAAGTGTGAGAGTGAATGGTTGTTTGTGGCCCTGTGATGGACTGTAGACCTGCCCAGGGTGTCCATCTCCCCCATGGCAATAGCTGGATATGGGCACCACAGCACCAGTGACCCAAAAGTAGAAGTGGGTAAAGATAATGGATGGAATTTGTATTATTTCAAAGTTCATGCTCAATCATCCAGGTACAAAATGGTCAATCAGGTCATCTGGACAATTTCTTCCCACCATCACAGACATTTACACCTCTAGATGCAGGAAGAGGGCCATCTGCATCGTGAAGGACCCCGCTCACCCAGCACACACTTTTTGCCCTACTCCCCTCAGGAAGTAGGTTAAGGAGCATTAAATGTAAAACCACTAGACTGAGGAACAGCTTCTATCCTGAGGCTGTTAGACTCATGAATCTCTAACCAGAATAATCACTGTAAAAAAAAAAATCACATGTTGCCATGTTCATCTACTCACAGACTCACATTCAGCATATTGATTTTATGCTACTAGTGTTTAGCTTATTTTTAGTTGTTTTTCTTAGATCTTGTAACATTTTCTTTTACATTTTGTTGGATGTAACTGGGAGCCTGTGTACATAATTTCGTTCCACACGAGGTGCGAACAACAAAGAGACGCATTTTTTTTGTGGAAAGATGTTTCATCCTCCATCTAGAGGGCTTCATCGGTCTGAGGAGTCCCAAGTAAACGGTTTTCTCCACTAAGCAGCGCACTCCTTTAATGGAATAACCAGTTTGTTGATGATAAGATGGTTTCTCTGGCTGGGCTGCCTGCCTGTGAGAAGTTGACAAAGTGGTTCAAGACAACAAGGTTCCTGCTCGATCACATCTTCCACAAAAAAAGAAACGGTCCAGATGACCTGATTGACCATTATTGGAATTTGTATTACTACTTCAAAAACAGATGAAAAGAAGCCCTTTGGCTAATTAAAAACAAGATGATCGAGTAAACTCAAGGTAAACTTTAGTTGTATTTAAAAACAGAAAAATGTTACCAGTATACCGGTAAATAATTTTTAAGACACTCCTTTTAAGCATGTGCATAAATGATTCACCATCAATCATGATTAGCGTCTAAACTACAAGTTTCACAAAGATTAAATAATTTCCCATCCTCAATGATCAGAAGGGAATCCAAGACAAGGGTGTGAATAATCGAGTGCCATTTTGGACCCTCATCTTAAAAAACTTGGGCCACATAATGTTCAGAACCATCAAAACCAGTCTGTGTGGAATGCCTAGTTTTATGACATCAAAAAAGCTAAACCAAGGACATAAAATATAAAAACTTTAAAAGGATAACCAATTCAATTCAGTTATTTATATAGCGCCATGTCACACCAGAAGTCGTCTCGGGACACTGAACAGAACCAGCACACTGTACAGGCATGGTTTGCCAAGCAAGGACTTTAAAATTCTCTCACACACATAAAATAAAGTACAAGACACATTCAGTGAAACAAACATTTATTTTCAGTGTACAACTTTTTAATTTTTTTAAAAAATGGAATAAAATTTAACATTTCACATTCTTGCCGAAAACTAGGCCAGGTCAATCATTTGAGGGAGATTTACCTGCACTACAGATGAGCAAGAAAGGGCGCAGTACACTTTCGTTGGCGTTTTAGGCAATTAAAACCACCATCCACAAAAACACTTTAAAATTTTTCAAAATTGTCCCAGGTTACAAGAACACAAGCTCAAATTAATCACTCAAATGTGTAGACTGCACTAAGAGGAGAAAACAAGAAGCCAAGCCGTCGGGAGGGAATGTGAACCCCAATGAAAGACGAAAGTGAATGTTGAAAAGATCAGTGGAAGGAATGAATGACAGATGTTTAATCTGGGAAAGTCCGACCACAAGCTGTGGAAAGTCAGAATACACACATTTCTTCAAATTCAAGCACAAAACTTCAGATTATGTTTTCTCTCAGTGCAAGAATGGTTCACAATGTGATCAATGCAAAAACCTACATCTATTTGGAACTCTGGACCATAGGCTGATAGATGCTTCTGCTCGACAAGACTGCTCACAAATGATGTAATATACATATATAGTCATTCCAAAAGGACACGTCAAAAACACAGCCAGATCACCCAAAGCCAGTTATTTTACTTACAGCTTCAATCAGTGCTTCAGTCACTGAAAATAATACAATGGCTCAGAACTCACATTCTGTTTAGTTAAAAGTGAAAGTCCTCGTCGTCTGAATCATCACTACCAAGAAGGGTCATAGCTAGGAGAAATCCGAGTAGATCAACACCGTTTTCATATTCGTCATCGAAATAATCATCGTCGTCGTCCGAGAAATACTGTGATTAGGAGAAAAATAAAAAAAATACACCGATATGTTGAGTACTTCTGAGGTAAGAACTTTCATCCGTTTTAAAAATGACAACTCTTACCGAAAACTCAACTCGATTTGGATTTTTGACATGACGATAGAGACAGTCCGTTTTGAAGGGACAGTATCCGAATCGGTCATAGCTGCTGCATCTTTTCTCACTGGAAATAACAGTGAGGAACCAGTCAGAAGCTTAAATATACATGAAGATCTTTTCTTTTGAAACTTCACTCCATCTTGAGAACAAAAGAAAAGTACATTGTAATCGCATATTGTGATCTGTGCTTCACTACTCTTCAAAATAGGCTGACAGCTCTGTTTGTTTGTATAAACTTAAAAAAGAAGAAGAAAGAAAAAGAGATTTACTGGTCAAAGTATCCAATTTTGATTTTCAAATTTAAAATTTAAATGTCAATTAAAATCAATGGACCAAAAACTTCAAATATTGTTGAGTGTTGAATGAAACCCTAAAGGGGAATAAATAAGGTGGGCTTAAAAAAACAAAACAAAAAAAAACCTGTTAGGTCATCCAGTTACTTAATTGACTGGTTTCATTCAATCTTTATTTATACAGGTTAGTTCCATGGAGCTTGGAGGACTTAATTGACCGGTGAAATCTAACAATGCAAAATAAGGGGTCATTTCAAAACTGCCTCTTGGTAGGATCAATAGCTTCAACAGCACTGACCAAAACAAACAGATCATTTACACTGCTGTCAGTCACTGACCTGAATTTCTTCCTGAATGCAACAACTGCACTCTCCTTTGCTGGTCCTTCAACCCACACTTTGCTTGGCATGTAAAACGCAGACTTCACTCTGCACTGGGGGCATGCCCTAAAAGTTAAACCGGAGAACAGGGGTGAAAGGTTAATTTTATATGATTTGTTGACTTGACCTTTGTTTATAGCAGAAACCCACCTTACAACATCAGAGCCAATGTGTTTAGTCTTCCGCCAGGTTGAGATGCACTTTAAACAGAAGGGATGGTTGCAGTTTGGCAAAAGCCCAAATATATGCTCCTTCGCGTTTTCCTTTTCATAAACTGTTTCCATGCAGATTCCACAGATCACATCTTTACTCTGCAGGAAGGCCTCAGTTTTCTCTTCACTTTTGTTACTGGAAGCTGCTGCAGCAGCAGCTCCACCCTCCTGTGGCTCAGATTCAGTGGAACCCTTGGCATAAAAAAATAAATAAATAAACCATGGAGAATTCTAGGTTCTTCAGCCTAGTTCAGTTCATTGACCTATGACCTGTAGAGCAACCATATTTAAGACTTAAAATTAGAACCAAACCTCCTCTATCCTCGGACAGGCACTTGCTCGAGCAATTCCTGAACGCTGGCCAGACTCCGGGTTGGTTCTTTCCCCTGGGAGATATACGGTAACAAGATTGTAAGTTGTGTCAAGTCTCGACTGCAAGGGAAAAAACAAAAACCAATACACCAGTACCTGGTGACTGCTCCTTTGCATTATCATGTGGCAGGCGTCGAGCGTTGCACTGAAAACGTGAGGCGTTAACAGTCGGCTCTGATCCACTGCATTCCTGCCTGGAAGTGACAGTGTGCAGGAAAGCTGGTTCTGACCCTCTTCTGTCAGAGGGCGGGTGGACCATATGGGAAGAGACGGCAGGCACTGAACCCCTTCTACCTGAAGCAGCTGCTCCAGCATTAGGTTGAATATGGAGATACCTGGTTGTTGAAGAAAAAAAAAAAAAATTTAAATATGCAAAAACCTTACAATAAATACAATTAAAATATTTACTCTCTTTCCTCCCTTCTCTTCTTACCTGCAGCTCTCGCCATACCAACATTCACCTTTCTGAAAGTATCTGCATATTTGGGGTTGTATTATGGTCATCTCGTGTCTGTAAAAACATCTGGAACCAAATCTGCATGAGCCATTTAGGAAATGCCTGTAAAAAAAAACAAAAAAAAAAAACAAAAAAAAAACTGTATCCAAATTCTTGTCAGTTTTTAACATTCATGAATGTTTACATTTTTAAAGTAGAATAAGTCCATAGGCGTGATGAAAGTGTGACCATTTCTAAAAAGGTAACACTCCTTTACTTTACATGGGTCAGGTTTTATGTAGGGGAAAATTTGTCAAGGTTTCAACTTTGTAAATACAAGAAAAATAATAATCAAATAAATGAAAAAAATATATTAAAAAATTCTCAAAAAAAGATGGTTTGAGAGGGGGTGAAGGTAGCCATTTATGTAAAATGAGAGAAACAATCTTTAATAGAGGTCTCAGATTTTAACTTTCAAAAACTTATAATGCAGCTCTGATACCCAGCCATTTTCACACCTATTGGGAATTTTATTTCATTTCAGAAAGCAGTCTGCTCCTCAAATAGTGTTAAATTATTATTTTTATATACATTTGAATTCAACCCTTATTTATACAGGTTAATCCCACTGAGCCTCTGGGACTCTTCTACAAGAGAGACCTGAAAATGTTCCTGCTCAGTACCCTGAGATGACTTCTGTTGCGACTTGGCGCTATATAAATGAATTTTCATCCACGTCACCAGAGTGGCTCCTCTGTATCTCAGACTAACAAAGATGAACTCCTATTGTGAGGAGGGATCGGACAATCTGTATTTAGCTTAGCTCAGCTTTAGAGCTTGTACCCCACAGAAAGTTCCTTGGATGAGAAGTGAAACGGCTTTGTTTACAAGTCCAGTTGTTTTTGTCTTGAACTTTTTTTTAATTCATTCAACCTTTATTTAAGCAGGTAAGTTAGTCTCATCGAGCCACGAGGACTCATTTACAAGAGAGACCTGGATTTTAACAAAGTGATGACAACAGTGAGACATTCACAAATGATTCATATAAATGTTTTTTTTATTATTATTTACAATTGAAAACAAAATGATAATTAAAAAGGAGAAAGAAACATGGCAACAACAACAAAAAAAAAAAAACGGTAGAAAAATCTAACAAGGTTATTATGTCAAAGCCTTTGGACAGATTCTTTGTTGAAATGTTTCATTTTTTTACACAAGACTTCACATGATCTAGATATTCACATGTAAAAGGAGGACCATCATCCTATATGGTTGTTTAAAATGACAAAAAAAGAAGCAAGTACTGGTCTGTGTGGTGAACCAGACCGATGGTCGATGTACATCTCTTTTAAACCACATATTGAAACCTTGAACTGGAAATAAAACTGGGTTTCTTTTTCAGAAACAGATCTTGCTTAACACTGAATGCCAGAAATCGCCTTGTAGCCACCATCTTCCCACCGACCAGTGACTATGGTGACATTTACATGAATGTCCCTGCCAGCTCCTTGCAGATGTTGAATGCCGTAACTGGTTGTAACTTCCGTACCCATCACGGCATTCGCTACTCATTGGTCAGTCGGTCGTCATCATCTACACGTAGGCTCTCACTGGTTCAGTTTCATCTATAAACCCCTCCTTGGTCGAGAAGGGGGTCTCTGCAGACCAAAAGTGGGCGTTTCTGGCGAATAGGCGTTTACGGGCGGCGAACACTGATTGGCTAACAGTATTTAATAGGCGTTTGTCGGCGGCGAACACTGATTGGCTGTGGGTAACCCTCAAAGTCACTAGGATTTTTGATGAGGTAACGTTTCTTTGCGATGTTTGACAAATAAATATGATTTATTGTACTTATAAAGCATGTTATGTTTTCACTTATGCATTTTATTGAAGTACGTTTATTGTAGGTCACGACAGTTTCGACCGTTCTCTCGTTGTTGTTGTAACGCACTGAGGTAAAGTGAACCTCCACAGCAGCTCTCACTGTGCACGTTTACAACAACTGGGTGTTGCTTTTCAAAATAAAAGCTGAAAATAAAAGTTCTTAATACTTGAAAAATAAATATTTAAAAGCTGAGTATAACTGAAAAATATGAAAAACAAATAAATAAAAGTTATTAGCTGAAAAATAAATAAATAAAAGCTGTTAATTATATCTATGTCTTTCTGCCATGTCAGGGACCACTCTCACTTCAGACTGACTCTAGAAGACCCCAAGATGTTGCTCAACAATGTTGACCAACATCTGATGTTGACTTTCAAAATAAATCACCTCCAAAGTTTAACATAGTTCATAGTAATAGTCAAAAGTTGCTGATCTTGTTGCAACATGAGTTAACACGAACATGAGTGTAAATTGTCAATGATTCAATAATGAGTAATAACTTATTCAATAAAAAGTCTGTAATTTGTCAATAATAGTCAATAATTCATTCAAGAATAGATTATGTGTGTTTGGTATGGCTCAGTGGCTAAAATGGGTTGGATGTTAGCGAAATTACTTAATTTTCAATTACCTGAATGTACAAATTCCTTCATTTATAGTTAAACTTTAGGAAATCAACTTTTTTTTCCTTGTGAAAAAAATATCAAAATTAACTTTAAAATCCAATCCAGGATTAAGTAACAACTAGCAACACCCTAACTGTACTATGTTCTGTGTTTCCAACAGATGCTACAATGACTTTTAAAAATGGATGTCCCAATAAACACAATAAAAAAAATTCAATGATGCATCAAATGTTGTCTGAGTATGTTTTAAGGTAATAACAAATGTGAAATCTGGAAAACAAAGAGAATTCCTGAATCTGTCTTGTGTGCTTTGATGTGTACATAAGTTTATTGGAGGTCCTGAAACAACTTTTCTGAGAACACAAAGATTTTTATTTTACCTTTGGCCAAGATGTCAGTTTGAAATCAGGCTGCATACTGCAAAACCAAGAGCTTTTTTAAGACGGTCTTCATTTGTATTGTTTTGTCAACTAAGCTAAATGTAATTTCTAAAATATGGATAAATCTGATCTCATCATGCAGCATAAGCAACTGGGTATAGGTGTGAGGGCCAAAAGTCTGGGTATGTACTGACTCCTAAATGTGCTTGTTTTCTACTGAAACATGGAGTAGGGTTGACCTTTAAAATGTGAGACAGCTGAGGAAGTTAACCAGTAAACAGAAATACCTGCTCCAGTTGCAGAAATCTGACAGAAACTGAGAATCACTCATCTGTAGTGACTGCAGGTTGAACAAGACAATGTGAAGTTAAAGGAAACATCCTTTGTCCCAAGGCCAGTTTAAGTATCATTAATATTTTTCTTTCTTTATGAATCGATTGTAACTTTGTTCACATTTTTCAACAACCAAAATGGAATTTGTTTTTTAATGTTATGGCTAGGTATTAAAAAAAACCCCTAACATTTAGCTCTCCCCACTACCCAGTTATGTTGCTCTTATTTTGAAATGTAACCGGAAGTTCTGTGTTAAGAGAGTCGAAAAAAGAAGTTATGGAGACGCCGCGGCAGTATACTGGAGCGATGTCGAACCGAGACGCCGCTAATGTCGAACCGGTTAACACCATAGACATAATATGCCTGTGGTTAACACAGTCTGCCAATAACGCCTTGTTTTTAGACATCATGTGTCTGTGGTTACAGCATTTTATCGTTCAGCCTTTTTTTTTCTATCGTTCAGCCTTTTTTTTTCTATCGTCCAATCAGATGTGGCCGTCCAGACACGCCCATTTTTCTATCGTCCAATCAGATGTGGCCGTCCAGACACGCCCATTTTTCTATCGTCCAATCAGATCCGGCCGGCCAGAAACGCCCATTTTCCTATCGTCCAATCAGATATGACCGCCCAGATACACCCACTTTCCTATAGTCCAATCAGATATGAGCGCCCAGATACGCCTTCCGAATTTGCCTGCAGAGACCCCTTCTTGCCTTGGTCTGCTACCTTCTTATATCTCCTCCCATATGTCACACTGTCAGTGCAGTTACAGCGTGCGCTCTCAGGCCATCATTACCCAAGCATTTTTCTACTCGGACCTGAAACACCTTGCAACAGGAAATGAAGTTGTCCACCATGATCTCTTTAAAAGGAGTTTCAAACAGTTGATAATGGCAATAGAAAAATCAAAGCAAATATGTTCTTGTTTTTAGTATTTCACCGTTTTACGGCACCCTGATTTATTGTTTTATACACTACTCTTAACAGCATTTTTAACGTCATTGTTAACTGTTATTTTAGTCTGTACTTTATATGTTCTGTCTGGAACAAGTCCCTCTTGTAAATGGTCCTCGTGGCTTAACGAGGCTTGCCTAAGTAAAGGTTGAATAAAAAAAAATTAAAAAAAAAGTGGAGAAACGTTTCAACGAAGAATCCGTCCAGATGACCTGACTTAACCTTGTTAGCCCTTTTACTAATTTGAATCGTCACTTTTTAAGTTTTGATTCGCCATGTTAGCCTTCTTACAAACAGCCGATTTAAAGTTGTTTTGGTTTTCTTGTGAAGGGTAGGCCTGGTTGTTTAGCAAAATGGTGCTAAAATGCTATTCAGGCGGCGGTTGGTCGGTCGACCGTTTAGTAAAATTCTAAAATGTGCTAAAAATCTAGTTAGCAGCATCGTATTCAGTTTACCTTAACCTAATGACAAGGTTTTACTTGCTACCAGCCCTCGTTGTCCTTTTATTCAACCTTAGTTTATCACGTGGTTCCCAGCGTGCTCAACGAACACCAGCTCAAAATGTTATCATTTACTTCAGCCTTTTCATCGTCGTAATGCTCGAATTCAAAAGTAGCACGTAGTCGCTTAACTGTGCGTTACTTATCAACATGTTGCCCGCTGTTTGCTAGTTTTCTTACCTACAAATAGTCCCACTGCGAGCCGAGTCCATCCTCTCTGTTTTGAACGAGCCGCCGCGGAAAATCTCAGTGCTAACTAAATAGCCAACAGCTGTAGCCATCAAGTAATTACCATGGCGACTGACCAATAGAAATAGAGATAGGACGTTCCTGCGTCGGGAACGCGAGGCTATTGGTCGTTGGGTGCGTCAGTCAGACCGCAACGTGATGACGACACATACGCCTGACCAACCGCAAACCGATACGAATTTCAAAATGAGGAAAAACAAAAACAAAAAAAATCGACACGCACGTGACAAAATGAGAAAAAAATAAAAACACCGTCATTAATTCTAGTTTATAAATCACTAAACCAGAACTGACGATGGGTTACATGTTACAATAAACAATACTTCAAAGTTCTTATACGTTTTTGCCGACAAGTATCTGAAGAAGCAATCGCTCGCTCTTACGTAGAGGTAGCTTTATTACACTTTCTGGTGTAATTTCATGCTTTATATAGTCACACAAATTGCTAGCTTGGCACACTGTCAGCCAATTGATGCAATGTGCAAATTTATCAGGGATTAAGGCAAAATAGGGCTAAGGATTTGATAAATGAGAGATAAAAGTAGTAGAGGATGGGGATAAAAACAAAATAAACCACCACAATTCATGTGGGTTTGAATAACAGTAAGTGGCTGTAACACAAATCACACACAAAAGTAATGGTATTCTTGGATTGTGTATATCTTAAACACTTCATACCAGATGTTGCATAAAAATTCTCTATCAATATAATGGCTCTTTATGCTGGTTAACTGCAGGATCTGCTGCACCATTGAAATAAAAAAATAATCCTGTAGGGAAAGGTTTGTTGGTTTTCTTCATGACATGTTTGGTAGCACCTAAACTAAACAGGCAAACATGTAAAAAACCACAAACTTAACCCATGAAATGAGACAAATCATGATTTAACCTTACAATATAAATCAACAATAACAAATAACTGGTAACATAATCACAAAGAAATGTACTTACAATAACCAAAGAATGAAGAATGAGAAGTTACTGTATTCTGAAAAAATAAAAATACAATAATAAAGAAAAATAACAAGCACGCTGTCCCTTGTACTTCGTGAGTCTTGTTTATAGTGTCAGCTTCAGGAGACAAATCTTGTATTGTACAGTTCAACAGTTATCACTTGGGTGGATGGCTTTAAGACAAAACCTAAATAACTTGGATCTCACATTTATTGACAAACAGAAATACTATTGCACAGACACTTGTGTTGGGAGAGCTCTACACTGCTGGAGCCAGCCCAGTTTGTGTTCTTCAAACTAAATGGCAGAGTGGAGGTCACTGATGACGAAGATGATAATTAAAATGTTGTAAACAAATACCAATTTGTGCATCTTCAGCTTGAAAAAAAAAAAGCCTGAGAAGAAAACAATCACTCATCAATCTGGCAGAAAAAAAAAATAATAATCTGGCTTTGCCACAGGTGTAAGATTATGAAACGCTTTCCCTTTGCAGCAAAACACACAGCTGCAGCGTGTGAGGAGAAGCTCTCTCTGAACGCTGCTCTGGGGTCAGCGCTGCTATGAGGATGAAACAAGAGCAGCCTCTGTAAGAAAACAGATCACTCTTCCTGTTAGGTGACCGTTGTGGGAAACTAAGGCTTGCAGCAAATGATTCCAGATGCTCACACACACACACATACGCACACCACTGTGCTGAGGGTAATGCTGATACTGTGAAGACTTTACTGATTTGATAGCCCTAGGAAATGATTTCATTTCATCTTTGTGTTTAAAATCCACTCCATACGAGGAAAACAGTGCTTGAATTGAACGCAGCGTGTTGTAATAACTCTAGATTTTGTCTGTAACAGTATTGCTAAAAACAAACAAAAAAAAAAAAAACAGTAAAATAAAACAAGTCTTTGCTGAAGATTTCTAATACATGTCTTTGTAGATCTCCTGTAGTAGAGGGTGGAGCGAGGTCTCCGACTCAGTCTTTTTGATCTTTTGGACAAGTTGAGCATTCTCAGTGACCAGCTGACGCAGATCAGCCATTTTCTGAAGCAGCTTGGGGAAGAGGTAGACAGAGTCAGAGTGGTTCGCTTGGAGGTGGAGGTCCAGGGCCTGGAGGATGTTGTCCTGACTTTGCTCCACCTGCTTCACGTTCATAAGTCCGGGGCGATCTAGAGAAACGAGAAGACATCTTGGAATAACTCACCATTAACACTAATCTACCTGGCAGAGATAATCCAACAGCAGGAAAACTTTTGAAGTGATATTCCTTTATTACTGTGGTTATTTGAAGAACTTATGAGCTGCTGGATAATTGTTAGCGGTTCCTGTTTAGGGAACAAATCACAGTTAAGACTAGTTTAGAGTATTTGTGAGACACGGCTTTGCAATCCAATCTTGCACATCAATTGTGTTGCAAGTGACCGTGAACTATGCTGAAATACAGTCTTCACTGTAAATAACTGTTAGATGCAAAAAGTGACATGATGTTAAAAAAAAAAGGCAAAAAAGCATTCGAGAAAATGCAAAAATTATAATTTTAAATGTTTTAGATGATGAAACATTTGTTCATGTTTTGGTCCCTTCTGAGCTTCAGTGGTTTTCTCAACGATTCTATAAATCTCTGACAGCTGTCTACTGCAGATAAGACGCTGTCATCTCACAAGTGATTCACACAATCACACTTAAAAATAAAGATATATTTTAAAATAGCTTTCATTTTTCATTTACAAATGTGAAAACAAAATATAAAAATGCTTGACTTTTATTTTTTTTAATCAACATAATCTTTTCTAGTGTCTATTGTGGACTTGTTTCAAATAATAACACAGATACTTGCTGAACAAACACAGGATAATTCTCTCAAGCACATGTTAACAGTAGCCACACAAAAAAACTTTCTGCTCTGCAGAATTGTCTCATTTTTGCCATCTAAAAATTATTTTTTAGTGTCATTTATTACACACATTTTCACCAACCAAAACACTGAAATTACATCATTTGCTACAAGTTTGGACGCGACCCTAGAGCAGATGATCACACGATGACAGCCTCGGAGAGGCAGTGTGTGGAAGTTGAGTGGGCTCTAAACTGAGGATGACAAAGCAGCTAACCTCAATAAGGCTCTTTGTTGACTCTGGGACAATCGTCTCTCTTACGTTTTAGCAACATATGCAACAGCCCAGTTGATATTTGGCACCGAAGTGAAACGGCAGAGGCACCAATGAAAAGTGAGGCAAGGTTAAGGGCTAAATCACGATTAAGTCTTGTAAAAATCCCAACGCTAACATCACCATCACTGAAAATGTGCTCTCATCGTCAGTTTATACTTGGATATAGATAATGGTAACATAATTTGTTGAGTGTGAAAAGAAGATCTATTGTGATTTTCAGCTTAAATGAGACAAATAAGATTACTACCTAAGCTAGTTAAGACCTCAGTAAGAAAGATTTAAAACTTACATGGGTGGTAATTAAGTCTTTAATAGTGTGCACAGAAAGTAAACTCTGCATAGTTCACCCATAAAGCCCCAAGTCTCACCTCCACAGAGAATAATGGCAGCAACAAACAAGGCCAGGTCACTGTCGTCCAACTCCAGAGCGTTGAACTTCACAGCAAACTCAAACTTGGGCTCCATGATCTCACTGAATGGCTTCCTTAAGCTGCGAAGGAACTCCCTGGTTACAAAGCCTTTGCCATTGGCTACCAAAAGTCCATCTTTGTTCATGAGAGACGGCAGCATGGCAAAAATAGCCTCGTGGACTCCGTACTTCAGCAACGTTACCTGCAGAGAGCACACAGACAGGTGTTTGTTTGTGCCTTGGAACAGCCAGCTGTGGTAGAACACAGTTAGGAGACAGTGACTCACCTGGTCATTAAGGTAGAGGTCCACAAACCCCGGAATGCACTTGGCAAACTCTGTGAGCTCTCGCACAGTCTCCACTGTAGTGCACTGACAGCGGTAGAACACATGAACTCCTATCTCCTTGGTCAGGGGTGCACCTGGGACTAACTGGCTCCATACTAGCCCACTTTCTGCTTTCCAGAGCGTGTCCACGTCGTAGATCACGAATGGCTGACACAAGGACAAAAATAACTTGAAAAACCAGCTGTGACTGAAAAGACATAACTAGGGTGTGGCTGCAAGGACATTTTACCATAAAACATAAAAGGGTGTCTGTACTAAATATAAGAAAAATGTATTTACACTGAAAAACTCACCTACCCGGTTATTATTGTGAAATTTGGCCAACCTGGACAAGAATACCAACTGATCTGACATCTTTGAGTATTTTGTTTGATAGCTATAGCTATTCAGTCCAGCCCTATTTATAAACCACTTTTAAGTGATAGTTGTTATTTGAATGCCAAAAGATTCAGAATTTTTTAATTTAGAAATAAGTGCATCAATTCTCATGTATAGAGCATTCCAGCTTATGATCAAGAACAAATATTTTAGTATAAAGTTAAAGGTCTCAATGTGCCATTAAAGAGTGTAACAGAACCTAATATATGCAACTCATGAGTAAGAAAACGTTTCATTTTTAAAGTAAAATCACGAAATAAGTCAAAATAACATGATTATAATATTAGCATATTTAACATTTGGTTCATTATTATTATTCATTGATAATACCGTAATTATTACTAATTTTACACTTTTGATAGACGCATCAATGTCTTTCGTTTGTGTCGAGACCTGAATACATCAATTAAAATACAGAGAAATTTTTAAAAGTCATAAATTGAAGTTGAAAGTGTTTAAAATTAAAGATAAGTATTTTTATAATCTAAACATTTAGTTTTTAATTCAATTAAGGAACATTAATCAACTGTTGAGCAATAAATTTAATAATTAAATTTTTTATATTTATTGTTTTATGCAGTTACAGTATGTTTATATAATATACTGAACAAGTTTGTGTTTTGATGTCAGAAAATGCAACATTTAGTTTAAAAGTTTAGTTAGAAAAGTCAGAATTATCGGAATAGACAGATGCAACATCCACTAAAAATGGTGGAAAACTACTTTGGTGGTGCAAAACCCTAAAGATAAAAACAATGAAGGAACTGATGGATCAGTGTTTTGACATTTTGCGTTTCAGTTTCATGTATTGTATAAAAAAGTAAAACATACAGAGGTGCTGCTGGTTTTGCCTGTCAGGATGCTTCGGGCCCTCTTTTTGGTCATGCTGAGGTTCTTCAGGTAGGCCGTGTTAACTTGTTTGGCCAACGTCTTCAGGTCCGAGCCGCCTGGTTTGCTGACGTTCAGCTCCTCTGCGAGCAGGCCTGCCACCAGCTTCTTCCTCTCCGCCTCAGGCATGCGTCCGTATCGGATCGCTGCGCAAACGCACACAGACACAGGACGTGTTTTGAGTAGACGTTCCCAAAACAATTCCGTCATGATATCTGGTTTTGTTTAAAATAATAATAATAATAATAAAATCCCAAGTGAGCAGCATTAACAATACAGTTTATGATTATGAGAATAATTTTGTACCAGAATATGTAAAAGGACATTAGAATTGACTTTAAAGAGCACAGTAGTTCACTTCACATTTATGAAACTTTACAAACCCACTTCCATACCAGCACAAGTCTTGTGAAAATCATTACTCTCAACTTTAAAGAATAATTTGAGAAGATAAAACAAAAACATCTTAAACTCACCATCATGAGACATTCCTAAAGACAGGCACTTTTGGAAGCGACAATATTGGCACTTGTTGCGATTCTTCTTCTGTATTTTGCAGGAACGCTCGCAGAGGTCGTACGCCAGCTTCATCCTCACAGTCCGCCGGAAAAAGCCCTAAATGAGAAACAACGCAACAGGTCGAACGACTGTGCCGTGCAAAACATAGCCAGTATCAAACTTTTGAATCTCGCAAAGATTTTGTGATGCGATGCGGCAGCTGCGTTACCTTGCAACCTTCGCAGGCGTGCACTCCGTAGTGGAAACCTGAGGCTTTATCCCCACACACTTTACACTCCACACTGATACCAGCACCTGAGTTATCTTCTTTGCCGAGACGCAGCTGTTCAGACAGTGAAGGCGATGAAGTCTGGGAAAGGTCTGCATTTAAAGTTAATAAAAAAACAAGCAGAAATATTAATAATAGCACATCTAGTGAGTGTCTAAATTAAACTTTCTTTCTTTACCCGTGTAGCTGGATGCTGCACTGTCGTTCTTCTTGTTATGATTGTTTTCCTCATCTTGACCCTCTCGTTGCCTTTTCTTCTGATCCCCTCTCAGGCCTTTGGTAGGAAGCACTTCCTCCTCCTCCTCCTTGGCCTCCTCATCCCTGCTTTCCGGACTCTTTAACCCTTGCAGGTCTGTCAGCTTCGACACCGTCCCCGCACAGCTGTTTGAGCATTCGGTCTTCACTTTCGGCGGCGTCCACTTGACATCCGCCTCATCTCGAGGAGAAGCAGGCGCGCTGTAGCCATTTACGTTGTCGTCCTGCTCGGTGGCAGTTTGCTGAAACCGTTCCATGGTTCCTGTTGAAGCTGACTCAGCAGATCATCTCCTGTCACGTTGCCATCGTAGCTCGATTTTCTAAAAGGAAAGTTATTCGTACGAACATTAAAATAGCTATATGCACTTACCATGTGTACTATATAGAGAGCTAGAATGAACAGCTGCTAACACTTAAGAGGCTCCAAGTGTCTGCATATCGTATAGCTCTCCATTGTATCCAGCGTAAGAGTGGTTAACAGTCCGATTTCAACATTTCAAAACACACAGCATAGCCAAAACAGTTCTCAACGTCTATTTATTGTCGCATAACATGCGGGTAAAAACCTTTATACTGTGCTGTTAAGAATTAGTTTGGTTTTATCTGAGGAAAGAGCCTTCAATAATGTTTTACTAGGTGTTTGTTTGGGTGCCCTCTCAGTCACTGAATTACTTCTGTTTTGTTTGAGCAGCCTGTAAATGTCCTTGATAGTAAAAGAGTTACAACATGCGCAGTCATGTCTAGATTTCTTTTTACTGCCCAGCAATTGGAAGATGAGCAGGGACCTCACACAGTTAAGAATCCTAAGAGCCAGCTATCAAAAGTAATAAAGGAATACAATAATGTAACTGTACAGGCTCCATTTGGAGGAAATTCAAAACCTATAAAATTAATTGAATTATATGCGCTATATGGCCAAGTTGGTAGAGCTGCTGCCTCTCGGCGAGAAGGCCGTCGGTTCAAATCCCAGCCGGGACCTTTCTAGGTGGAGTTTGCACGTTCTCTCCGTGCATGCGTGGGTTTTCTTCGGGTACTCTGATTTCCTTCCACAGACCAAAAACATGCATGTTGGGCTGACTGGTAACTCTAAATTGGCCCTAGGCAAAGTGACAGTGACATTAGCGATGTTTACATGGACATAACTAATCGGATTAAACAGCCATTCGGAATAAAAACGCGTCATGTAAACGCCCCATTCGGATCATTTTTTTGTTGATTCAGCTCGATCCGAAAGAATTTTTAATCAGAATGAGACGGGTGGTTTATGCTGATCCACATATTTCCACCTGGCTAGATGCTAATAATATTAGCATGTTGGAGAAGCAAAACTGGTCGGTGAGTGACAACATTTCTACTAGAAACTTTGAAAGAGCTCAAAATGATCTGTATTACCTGTAGCTCAGTCAGGGAGTGCAGTAACGTCTCCACCGTCATTAAAACCTGTCGCGGGTCCATTTTGGACGCTCAGGTTTGTTTACGTTCATCCCGGAAGTAAACCGGAAGCAGAACTTCTTCTTCAGTGTTTTCTTTAAGGAGAGTTTACCACTCTGCACATGTCAGTACTTCTGTTCAGAATAAAAGCCCGCTGCATGTAAACGCTCGTCGTGAACGGATTGTGTCCATGTAAACGATACATTTGAGTTATTTAATGTGAAAACATTGAAATCCGGTCAAAGAATTTTGTACATGTAAACATAGCTATTGTCTCATTTGTCTCTATGTGTCCCTGAAATGGACTTGCGACCTGTCCAGGGTGTCCCCCACCTCTCGCACTGTGACTGCTGGCCTGCAACCCTAACAGGAAGAAGCGGGTAAAGATAACGGATGGATGGTAGATAATACATGCACTTTTTTGGAGTCTAAATATACTTTTAATTTAACAAAACAATTTACAATTTACTTTAATTGCTTCACTAAAATAAACACAGAATTATCAACCCTGAAAAGAACTCGCACACCTATAAACAAGTAGAAGAGCATTAGTGCTAAAACAATATGTAAAACAACTAAATTGTTTGCTACATTAAGCTGGTTGAAGCAGCTGCTGCTCCATCTTCATTTTCTTAAAGTAACTGATAAATCTACATGACTGAAAACAAACTTTTTAAAAGTTAAAAACCAGTTGGCAGCTGAACACAGCTTATCAGTAAAAACATACCGGCTGTCAAGCACAGTGGTGGAGGGCTGATGGTTCGGGCACCTTGCAGTCATGTACTGCTCTGTGGAACAACAAAGTCTACAGTCAATTCTCTTTCTGGAGTACATTTCTATTTAAAGGTTTAGGCTTTTGTATTTGTAAATCATAACAGAACCCTTAATTAACGTAGTCAAATTTTGGATTTTATTTATGTTGACTCATTGACAACAATCTGAAAAACATCATGCGAGCATCTTATCGGACACAATGAACAGATGAACTCGTTCTCGAGCTTAAAACTTGTTTTGTCTGCTGGACTAAATTAAGGATTCACTTCAGTCACTTTGGTGTCATGCCATTAAGGTGATATAATATATTTTCCATCTCTCTAACGTCTGAAATGACCTTTTAACAGAAACTAATAAGCGCATGTAAAATCAGGCACCAAAAATTCTCAGATTGAGTCAACTATTTCCAGTACTGAAGTGCAGCATTTTGGTCCTTTACACCTGCTTTTTATTGACTTTTATATGCAAACATGTCTATAAATTAGTTTTACTGGCAACTTGGGAGCATATAGATACAAGGCTTTCAAAGCTAGAAACACATATTTCATCTGTGCAAGTATAAATGTTATGCACAACATGTATATGTGAAGCTGTGATAGACTTATGCTGTGATAAATACCTGCACATTAGTCACCTTGTAATTAACCATTATGTGTGTGTTTTGTTGGGGAGCTGTGGGCCGAACGTCCGTACATTCCAGAATAAAATACTCTCGACTTGACTACCCAGACCTCATCTTCTATCACTTATCCATAATCAAGTCGCGGAGGCAACAGGTCCAGGAGAGAAACCCAGACATCTCTCTCCCCAGCAACACTTTCTAGCTCGTCCTGAGGGACCCCAAGGCATTCCCAGGCCAGAGAAGATGCTCAATCCCTTCAGCATTTTCTGGGCTTTCCCCAGGGCCTCCTACCAGTGGGACGTGCCCAGAAAACCTCCAAAGGAAGGTGTCCAGGAGGCATCCTAATCAGATGCCTGAATCACCTAAGCTGGTTCCTTTCGATGTGGAGGAGCAGTGGCTCTACTCCAAGCTCCCCCCGGATGATGGAGCTCCTCAACCTATATCCAAGGCTGAGTCCAGCCACCTTATGAAGGAAGCCCATTTCGGTCTCTTGTATCCGGGATCTTGTTCTTTCACTCATGATCCATACCTCATGAAGTTAGGTGAGGGTTAGAACAAAAACAAACCAGTAAATCAAGAGGTTTGCCTTTCGACTCAGCCCCTTCTTCACCACGACGGACTGAAGCAGTGCCCTCATTACTGATGAGGCCCCGATCTGTCGATCCATCTCCCGCTCCATCCTACCATCACTCCTGAACAAGACACCCAGAAATGTGACTCCTCCACCTGAGGCAAAGTCTCCTCCCCCTGACCACCTGGAGGAGGCACTCCACCCACTTCAGGTTGGGAACCATGGCCTCAGACTAGGAAGTGACTCTCACTCCAGGCTCTTCACACTCAACTGTGAACGGTTCCAGAGCACGCTGAAGGTCTTGGCCTCAAGACGCCAACAGAACCACATCATCTGCATAAAACAGAGATGAGACCCTGAGGTTCCCAAACCAGACATCCTCCTCTCCCCGACTGCATCTCGAGATGCTGTCTATGAACGCCACAAACAGGATCGGAGACTAGGGACAGCCCTGGTGGAGTTCAACCTATGCTGAGAATGAGACTGACTTTTGTGTCAAGGATGCAGACACGGCTCTTGCTTAAATACAAGGACCGGATAGCTCTTAAAAGCAACACTGCACAGACGATAAATCTAATTTGATTAAATGTTAAGGAAAAGTAAGCATGAATCCATCTAGACCACAATGCACTGCAAAATTCTGACCCGAGCGTGGAATAGTAACTGTAAAAAGGTCAGTTAAAAGTTTCTGACTGGTTGTGGATATTTGAGCTTGTGTGCTGCAGGAACAAGACCCTCAGTACTTGTTGTTTGTGGAAGCTGTGAGTCTCCTTGTTGGTTGCTGTCGGAGGACAGGGTGCATGCACTGTGTACACACTGAGCAGCACTGATGGCAGGCGGAGGCGGTGGAGCAGAGGGCTTTAAGGCTGGAAGTAAGGGGGGGAGGTTAATATTTTTTTATTTTATTTTACTCCCCCCCCCCGCCCCCTTTCCCCCCTGTTCTGGATTAATCCGCCCTTGTTGACGAGTCGTGAAAAACAACCAGTTTGTGCTCGTTAGAAATGCGTCTCAAAGGTGAACGGCGTCGGTTTCGAGGAACAAACCAGCGGGTGTCAGGAGAGCTGAGACCGGTCCAACAAACAACCTGTCACACCGGTTCTCGGAAGTCCCTGCTAACTTACCGAGTCACTAAAGGGACTGTAACTGGATACGAACTTTTGGGAAATTAACCCAATCCAACCCTACACACTTTATCTGAAGTCAAACTTTTTAAAAATGTTCTCTTAGAGCCAGACAAGCCTGTCACAGCGGACCCAGAGCCGAGCTGCTCCTCCTGCCTAACCTTGATTTTGACTGCCATTAGCATTAGCTGCTAGCGTAGCTCACGTTCCCGACAGTTTCTCTAAATAACTGATAGATGGCGGCCAGGTTCTCTTACCTCCCCCCCAGTAGCGCCGCTGGACCGAGGGACGTTTCCGCCACCACGACCCGCTGGAAACACACCAGCAACAGTCCCGTCCGAGATCGATCGGCTGTTGACAAGTTGTTGAACTCACCGACAGGCTAACAACAGGAGCTAACGTCAGACAGCTAACTCACAGAAACTTACAGAGCCGGGCCTTCGTGTGACAAGCGGGTCGGTGAAAACGGGGAGCATTTAATCCTGCTACCTGTTTACCACCACATCACATGCAAATAAACAAAGTTACCAGGCCCCCTCCGTCTCGACTCTGTTCATGGCTTTGCTTTACTCTGCTTTGCTTTGCTTCACTCCTCCTTCTCCTCCGCCTCCTCCTGTCACATGTCGGGACACAGAAACGGCTTGAGCAAGCCAAAAAGTGACCCCTTTCGTGCGCACGCACACAATCACAAGCGAGGGGAATTTCGGTTCTTTTCTAAGATTCGAGTTATTTGTCTCTGTTCAGCTAAAAGAAAAAGAAAAATAACCTCGATTAATGTTACTGACTCCTTGCACTCAATCAGGGCTCACGAATCCAAGGTCCTACGATATTCTCTGGCAAACTGCAGCTAACTCAGTTAGTGGACTCACTGTAAAAAAAAAACAAAAAAAAAACTGAATCGTTTTATAGACCGCATACTCGGCTAAAACTAATCACTGATTCAGATTAAAGACAACTGAAGCGGTGGACTCAGATGAGTCCAATGGCTGATTTGGGAAAAAAACTCACATAAAACACGGATTTCAGATAACTTTGGTCACGATGTGGACTCAGATGAGTCAAGTCTTTGATTTACGTTAAAGACTCGCCTAAAACGCCTCAGACTCAAATGAGTCCAATCACTGATTCTATTTTAAAAACTCATTTTACATGCTGTGGAGTCTGATGAGTCGGTTCATTGACTGAAATAAACTCACCTAAACACTGCAGACACAGATGAGTCTGAAGAGATGTTTAAAAATAGCATATTTTTTTTAAATATTAATATGCATTACCCTTCCAAATGATATACCATACCAGCTATATTTATAGATCACTTTAAACACCTACAGGACCAAAGTGCTGTACACACAACAAAACATTCATAATATATGCAATTAACTGTAATCAATTCATGTTACATCTAACATATATTCCATATTGCATCAGACCATTTCAATATTTAATGCTAGTTAAAGACTGACAATGGTATCAAACATAAAACAATAAGACAAGGCATTACATGTGACAGTAAATATTTTTAAGAGAAACACATTTTTTTTCTCCAGCCTTTTTTAAATTTTATTTTTAATTGAGGTATTCAGAAATTGTATCAAACATATTGTACATTTAGCAAGATATTAAAACGATTGTTGCTGCAGTATTAAATGTTTTAAACAACAAAACAGGTTGTTGTTAGTAGCTCGTTCCTTTTTTTGGTTTAAGGTTTTCCACCAAAAAAATCCATTTGAAGGGCAAGAAAGCTCCTCTACATCACAATGTTTTAAAAAAGGCCAAACTAAATTTAACATCGGTGATTGCACCTTTTTATTCTACTCCTGCTCCTATCGTGTGTACAAAATACACATAATGTAGTTTTTTCCCCCATGTTTTTAGACGGGTTTCTTCATGTGATATGAGAGAGCTCAGCTGGCACATTGAGCTAGTCCCATATTTTTTATATTTCTGCATAAACATACAGTAAATGTTCATAAAAGAGGACGAGGAAACTCCTGCAAACAAATCTGACTAATAAAACAAACATAAAATCTCACAAAGATGAAGTTGCACAGTTCACAAAGTCTACCTAAAATAATGGAGGAGCCAATCTTAAAAGTTTATTTTTAAAATTGAATGTTTAACATATTTATGAGATGTTAAGTTTTGCTTTAAAAGAAAAACAACAAACGGAGGAACGAAACTGCATTAAAAGGACATTCATGGGACAGGAGGCAGGTTGTTGAAACCAGTGCAATAATTTATAGTTCTTAATTTATAATCAATGGTTTAGGTTAAAAAAATACAGTAAATGTGCAGACTGGTTTGAATGCATGTAAACAAGAAGGCATTTTGTTATGTGATGTTATAACGATCTTTGCCTAAATAAGTCGGTGTCATCTTGCAGGTTAGTGGTTAAATTATTTTTAAGTAATATTTTTCTTTGAACGCCTTTTTTTAAATTTTCAAACCTTTGCAACACATCACATGGTAAACATGCCTTCTATCTTTCACCACTTAATTCACATTAATAAAATAAGAAATGCGAGTTTTAGGACATGCCTGGTGGAAAATTTACTTGGAATGTTTATTTATTTATTTTTGTGGTTTAGATTGAAACTTTAGACCACACAACTCTTCACACAGCAAACATCACATGTTAAATCACCTAAAGTTTTTTTTTGTTAAAGCAACTTCTGCAGAAACAGACCAGCCTCAAGCGTTTTTTGAACCGTAATACAAGCTTAGAATGACCTTCTGAAATATTTCTTCTTGAACCCCTGCTGATCTTCTCAAGCAGAAAAACAATTGGGGAAAAGTACAGACTGAGAAAAAAATATATTTAAAAAAATTTGACTTTTAAAATGTTTTTCAGGCAAATGTTCTTTTATAATTTAGATATAACTCAGACACCAGTGAAAACGTAAATTACTTCAGCTGTTCTGTCCAAAAACTTCAAAAAACAGGCCCAAACCATGAAGCGTCTCGTTCTGCAGCGACTCATTGCTAACACACGAGTTAAAACGCCTTTGAGGAAAAGTCTGGTGTATTTAAACTTGTTCTTTAGCTTCAGCCAAGAGGTATTATGAGACTGGGCAATGCTGCAAAAAAAAAAAAAAGATCACATCTGACCTTATTTTAGTTTAGTCGAATTATTCAGTAGTGATAAATTTACCCCCAAGTGAGCATTTTCAAGAAGTCTCGTTTCTTTAAACAATAAGTCTGCACTTGTAACCTCGTGGATTTAGTGCTGCTGAATCAAACATTTAATGCATTAACAGTCACTGATGCAACCTTTCACCACAGGCAGCCCTTACTGGTTTTATTGTTCACCACTGAAGGTGAAGTTTTACAGATATTTCATATAGTTGTCTGTGGTAGTAGCCGAGACTGATCCCCAACACATATTCTGAGAGCAAGATGTTTTATTTTTAAATGTTGACATTTAACTAGTTAAGAGTTATCTGTGATTGTTAGCAAAATATTTCACAAACTGGGTGGATTTTAATGAAACTGTCTGGAAACGGTAACCAGTGGATGTTGATCTACAATGGACCAACTTTTGGAGTCAATCCAATTCAAGATGGCTGCCACAGATAATCACAACTGGCCAACACATAAATGTCTCCAACAGTCAGTTTTACAGATGTTGAGCTGAAATTTGTTGCATTATGAGCCAAGAGTCATTGACAACACATACTTATGTCTCATGATCTTGCATATCACACATTATTTTCAAAGTTTGACTTAATGCAGATTACTTGTGTGTAAACGGGTTAAAAAAAAAGACATTAACCTGAAAGATTTGTTAAAAATAGACCGTACAGCTTTTTTTAAAGGCAGTAATGAATTAAAAAATTTGGACAGCATGTAGTTTGTGCGGTTAGTCAGGGGATGTCTCTGTTGGCTCAGGGCTGAAGAGCGAGAGGCATCAGATTAGTCAGCCGTGACACATTTTATTCTGACAAACTAGACAAACTCAAACTAAAGCAGCTCAGCTTGCCCGCAGAGCCACGTGGGCGTCAACTGCTTCCTGTGTCGGCGTCGCTTTTTCACTTTTGCAGTTAATTTGGACAAAAATTTCATCCGTTTCGTTTTAAATCAGCCATTTGATTTTTCATAAGGTGAAGACTAAATATTTACTCGCATAATTTACCTCATGAAAGATTGTTTTATTTGGTTATGGCATCGATTCACCTTTTCTTTTTTTTTAATTGACAATGTTGTGTGACAGAAACAAGAAGATCTCTCCCCTCTCTTATCGCTGCCTTTTCTGTTAACCAGGAGAAAATGGTGGTAAAACTAATACTGAATGAACTCCACATCAAAAATGTCATACTCCAAACCACACAAGTATTACAAGTTAAACATTTAAACAAGGGCATCTTTGATATTTACAAAGTAACAAAAAGAGCCTCCTGCAATCATAACTCTGTGTTTTTAACAGCTCTTAGCTTCAGGCTGAGGTTTTGTCTCAACAAACCCCCAAACATTAGTTCAACAGAAGAAACAGCAAACAAACAAATAGTCTTAAACTATCACTGTCATTGAAATGAGGTCAGTAATTTCAGTATTCAACAGGGGTGGTAGTACTGTAAACTCATGGTAATGCAGACGTCCTGCTGCTTTCACAATATTCACACATCAGACAGTCGTCTCTTGGTCTTCCTGTTGGAAAACGTCACCAGGATCAAAATTGGAACCTCTCTGATTCATGGTTATTTTAGGGGATGTCCATGTCTCCGTTTGAGGTATGCGAGTGGCGTTTCTCCAAATCGGACCCAGCTCTGCTGTCTACGTTTTCTTTGCTCTCCTCGTTTCGTTGCTGATCCTCGGAGTCCGATCTCTTTCTGAGACGCAGGCCGGGATCTCTCTGTGCCGGGATCTGGAAGGCTGGATAAGAACTTCCCAGAGAGGGTCTTTTCTCTAAACAAGAGAAAAGAAAAGGACACAGCAGCAGTCAATTTAAATGACAGTGAAAAAGCCGTTTGGGCAAGAAGATAAAGTGCTGATGAATAGGCTTAGCATTCCTTCAATGAATGCATATCACTGCTGTTCATACCAGTTATAGACTAAGATCTGAGATATAATATGAATTCTGGTCAAAAATATTGTTTCATTGAATCTCACGCAATGACTCTCAGCTACTACCACTTCCAGTTTTAGCTCAGTATCTGTAAAACTGACTTAGATTTAACTGTGGTTGTTTTGGTTAAGCTGTGGCAGACATCTTGAATTGGTCTGACTGAAAAAAAAAGATAATGAGCTGGAACTTTTAATGATTACTTTCCAAAAGTTCAACTGTATGATGGAGCTTTAGGGCCATGCTAAGAAAAAAAAATTACCGGTACATTACGAACGAGAATAAAGTCATAGAATTACGAGAATAAAGTCGTAAGCGAATAATGTTGAAATATTATGAGAATAAAGTAGAAACGATACAAGAATAAAGTTGTAGTATTATGAGAAAAAAGTAGAAACAATACAAGAATAAAGTCGTAGTATCACGAGAACAAAGCCGTAATATTATAAGAATAAAGTAGAAACAATACGAGAATAAACTTGTAATGGCGTATTGTTTTTGTACTACTAGTGCTTAGTGTATTTTTAGTTAATGTTTTTCTTAGTTCATATCTAAGAGCTTATTACTGTCTTTCTTTTACATTTTATACTTTTGTTGGATGTAACTGGGACCCTGTGTACACAATTTTGTACCACATGTGATGCGAATGACAATAAAGAACCTTGAATCTTGAATAAAGTCGTAATATTATCAGAACTCTGAGATGAAAAAGCAGTCTAACAACTGCAGTAGAATGATGAATGTTGAGGTCGGCAGTACAACAGCAGGGGGTCCAACGCACTGTGGCGTATGGATTCTTATGATAAACTGAATCCGACATTAATGGCTGCATTGATGGGATTTAGTTGTCACATAATGTGGATGGAAGCATATTTCACAAACAGTGACCCAAAAGTGATCGTGGACTACTTCATAAACACAGTGATTCACATTGGAGGCTGTCCACAGCAGGTGCGACCCGACCCAGGACGTATTACGAGTTTATTCTCGTAATATTCCAATTTTATTCTTGTACAACGTTATTCTTGTAATTTTATGACTGTTTTCTCATAATGTAATTTTTTTTCTTAGCGTGGCCCTAATACAAATACCCTAGTACAATTGAATCCATTCAGTGGTTTGAGAAATTATGCTAACAAACACAATGGCTTCCACCCGTTAACGCTAAAGTTGATCAAAATGCTGCACCCTGAGCAGCACTTGGAGAATTCATTGTACATAACTCTCAACTACTACCACACCAAAACTGAGCAGAATATCTGTAAAGTTGTCTAAAATATGACCCTTTTTGTATTTTCTAGTCAGTTTGCTGTGGCGGCCATCTTGAAATGGAGCTAATCAGTTGTAACTAATTATTTTCACACACACATAAACAGACACAGGCAACTACATTGTTGTCCATCTTTACCCTTAGCAAAAACTAACTGACAGATGTATATTTTTGCAAAGGAAAGAACTGTCCAATAGACACATTTCAAGTAAAAACGCAACAAAAATTTTGTATTTGCTCACTTTTTTTATGCCAGCACTTATCAATGTATTAATGGGTAACACAAAACCCAAATAAAGTAAAAATAGAACATAGTATTGGGTTTTAATCTCAAAAAGTTACAGTAGTCCCTCTCTACTTTGTGGTTCATTTTTCGTGGACTCAACTCTATTGCAGTTTTTCAAAGTAACATTGGACATGACACACAATTGTTGATGGATGGATGAGCCGCACAATTGGCATGGATTTTTTATTTAAAATAATTAATTTAAAAAGATTTGGCACCTGTGTGCAGCCCACAGCTGTGGGAGAAGCTTCCTCCTGCAGCTGATCAGCTTATCTCTGCTCTGCACAGAGATCAGCTGATCTCCGTACAGAGCAGAGAAGTGGGCGGGACAGAGAGAGCAGCCAGAGGCAAAGAGCTGAAATCATGACATTCTGTGCTCGTTTAGAGTTTAGAAACATCGTTTAGAATATTGCAAGAGTATATATATATATATATATATATATATATATATATATATATATATATATATATATATTTATATATATATCTACTTCGTGGTTTTTAATTTACTGCGGGGCTTTAGGATACGGATCGAGGGACTACTGTATTATAAGGCTTTCAGTGAACCAAGCTTAAGCTTACATAAATTAAAAATCCGAGCAGCTGAAGTTTTATATTATATTTTTATGGGATTGGCTCTTTATAAGGCAGCACGGTGGCGCAACTGGTAGAGCTGCTGCCTCTCAGTAAGCAGGTCCTTGGTTCAAACCCCGGTCCAGGGGCCTTTCTGGGTGGAGTTTGCATGTTCTCTCCGTGCATGCGTGGGTTTTCTCCGGGTACTCCAGTTTCCTCCCACAGACCAAAAACATGCATGTTAGGCTGATTGGTAACTCTAAATTGTCCCTAGGTGTGAGTAAGAAAGTGAATGGTTGTTTGTCTCGTTTGTCTCTATGCAGCCCTGTGATGGACTTGCGACCCGTCCAGGGTGTACCCCGCCCCTCGCACAGTGATTGCTGGACATGGGCACCGGCGACCCCCGTGACCCAAAATGGAATAAACGGGTAAAGATGTTCCTGTTGAACCTGTTCCCGTAGCTGGCGGACTTCCTCCCGGAGATGATTATTTTCCTCCAGCACTGAATCCACAACTGCAGGGTCTGGACTAGCAGCATAATCGTGATCCTTATGGGTGTCTACACTGGCTGTTGTATTATCTTCCTCCTCGCTGTCCTCTGGAGGTGGTCTTTTCCTTCTCTCCCAAACCGCGGGTCTTGGAGGTGGAAGGGAGTAATTATTCCATTCAAACAAAGCAGGTACAGCTCCCTTTTTTAACATCCGTCTTCCCTTTTCAGATACTGGCTCTTGAATGTCCTCAGGTTTGAAATGCCGACTACAAACGCGGGTGTGAACTTTTAAAGCTAAGTTTTCCCTGCGGATAGCCACGGTCCATTGTCGCCTTAACTCCTCATCGGCAGGAAAATGGAAAAAACTAACTACTCTATTGTACCTACTGGTTAGTGGACACAACGGCACACAACAGAACTGACTTGCAGTGCCAGTAGATCGCAGACGCTTTCCGTTTTGAGTCTTTTTCATGGTTACTACTAGTAGCTTATGCTAAAAACAACTGCAGTGGATAGGAGCCGGAAGTGATGGACCCTTCTGAAATTTTAACGGAAGTACGTCACCACTACCCGTGGCATATAGTCTATTGATGGATGGATGGATGGATGGCACATACCGCCTGGTCCGATCGGTCGCATCAATCTGTTCATCTGGACGTTCCAGTGTTTGACGTTTGTGCTCGCCTGGCGAAGTTTCCTCTGGGCTGCCTGTCAGATGAAAACAAACTCTCTAAGACATCTTCAAGTTGCAAGAAGCAAAAACTGTGAACTAAAAAAAAACAAAATTAATCCTTCTGGGCAGTATCAAGGTATCGCCCGCATTTAAAATTCACCCAAAAAAGCACATATGAAGATGAGTCTTCTGCTGACATTTTATCAGACACACAAAAATGTGCACTTATGTGAAGTTTTGTGAAAAAGCTATAAACAGTTATCATCTTACCTGTTGCAGATAGCTCTTTGAACAACCTGAGTCTGGAGAAAAAGTTTAGTTCAGCTGGGACCGATGAGCAAACAGCTGGGCCAAAACCAAAGTGAACTGCTGCTCTAACCTGAAACACCTCACACCATTTCATGCAAAAACTGTTTTATATACTTTTACTCCACCGTCAAATTAGTTTGAACTGCTTATTCTGGCCGAAACAATAAACGTACCCCAAACTGCACAGGAACTGTGACTGCTAGCTGCTGCTGCCACTATTCATGCTTGCAAATAAACAAATGTAAATATCTGTTAAATACTAAATTAATAACAACTTAAAGCTTTATTCACATAAATTACAATGATATTTTGAGACTTGCGTTGTTTTAAGATAAGAAGAAGTCCACTTTGGCCCAGCTTAGACTCTGTTTATTCCAACTCAGGTTGATCAAAGAGATATCTACAGCAGGTAGGATACTTATTCTTCATAAACTTTCCACAGAACACCACTTCAAAATATCTTGTCATGCCACAGTCACCATTTTTTATTCATTTTATAACGTAATGCCGTTTTAAATGACCCTGTATGTTTTGTTTATTTCTGCTTCTTTATCATTTTATCTTTTATGTATTTTTTAATCTGTTGTTTAACTTTTGTTGTTTTCGTCTGCCTGTTTGTCAGACCTTTTACAGCTGACAAAAACAACAGAAAACACCTCAGCACAATGACTTTATTTCACCCTAAAGAATAAATCTGCAATAAAAACTACAATGAAACCAACAAAAAAATTCCCTGAGCCTTTTAGTTCTCTCTGAACTGGTTCTTATTGCATTCCTTTGTTAAGGACTCTGAGAAATAAAACTCATACAATCAAATAATTTATTAGCAAAACTTGTCTTTTTTGTAGCTATCTGCTCCACAAAGTAAGTGCGTGTGTTGTGTTTGTTCCACCCACCACTACATCCTGATCAACCCTGTGCCGGTTGGCTCGGACCTCCTCCAGCTGCCGCTGCGCCTCGTCCAGAGCCTGAGATTTGCACTCCATTTCCTGCTTCAGCTCCTGCTTTTCCCTCTCCGTCTTCAGAATGTACTCCTCCTGCTCTTCCTGCAGGGCCATCAGCGCCTTCATTTTCTCCTCCTCCTCTGCCAGTAACCTGGGTGCCATAGAAAACACAAATGTGAGACTTGTTTCAACCGATCATCAGAAATTTGTACCTTGAGAAGTGAGTTAGGAGAGTGACACATTAATCTGCAAAACTACAGCGTGCAACAGCTTCCTCTACCAGCAGGTCAACTTCCTCAGGAACTTGACGCAACATGAACTCATCCGTTTGATACCTGCCGTCTGCTCACAGGAACTACGGTATCTACAGCTCAAACCATTGTGAGGAGTGGCTGAATCTACTGTGCAATATCTACCCAGCTTGAGCGTATCGGAAGGCCTCCTCATCCAGTCTGGCTTTAATCTCCTGCTGCAGTGCCTCCTCCAAACGCTTCTGCATCTCCTCCAGTTCTTGGATTCTCTTCCTCTGCTTCTCTGCTTCCTCCTCCTTCAGAGCCATCTCTGCCTGCATGCTGACTCGGGCCTGAAGAAACACAGAAAGAAGCAAACAACTCCCTCTCTTTCCTCTTTTTGAATTTCTCCCCGTTTGCCTCTTACCTTCTCGGCCTCACGAAGCTGAACCTCCAAAGTGCGCTGGAGCTGCTCGTGCTGCTCTCGCCTCCTTTGCTCATCCTGCTCCAGGAGGGCCTGGGCCTGTTTCTGTGCCTCCTTCAAGAGCTCCAGCTCGGCCAGTTTGCACTCCCTTTCCTCCTGTAGGGCTCGAAGCCTCTGCAGCTCCTCCTCTTTGGCCTGTTGCCGTTTCTCTCGCTGCTCGCGCTGTTCACGCCGCTTTAGCTTCAGGTCCTTATGAAGAGACGTTTTCCCCTCCACGTGCAGCCTGATGGCTGTTTGAATAGCTGCGAAGAAGAAGATGTTCAACGTTACAGCAGGAAGACAAAACTTTTAGGATTGTTTAACATTTTAGAAAGCGCGTGGCTGACCTGTAGTCCACTCCTGCCTTTGTTTGGTGTCCGAGGCGCTCATTTCATAAGTCTTAGAAAGTGTTTTCAGACAAAACATGCACCTCTTCCCATCTTTATCAGGCAGCACCTGAATAAACAGCAAACACTCGTTTTATCCATGGATTCAAAAGGCAGTCTTCTTATTATTTAACCTTCAAGATGACTTTATTGTCATCAACATATGTGCATGCATCACAACAATATTGTGTACTTTAGGTCCCAGTTACACCCAAAATAGCAATATATATATATATATATATATATATATATATATATATATATATA